AAGCGCATTCTCCTCCGCTGCAAATTTGCTGGCATTCCTTTACATCTGGTGCGCAGATCATGTTACAGAGTCCCCCTGGGCAACTCTGAATGCATTCATCGGCGTTGGAAGAGCAGGTCATATTACACAGACGTCCGCTGCATTCTTGTTCGCATCTTTTGGAGTCGCATTCTAGCGACTGGCAGTTGCCATAGGTGCAACTCTGAATGCATTTATCGGAGTTGGACGAGCAGGTCATATTACACATACCTCCGTTGCATTCTTGTTCGCATATTTTGGAGTCGCATTGTAGAGACTTGCATCTGCCCCCGAGACATGATTGCGCGCAGTTCACGATGGACGAAGTGCAGGCCAAAGTGTCGCAAACGCTTCCTGTACAGGACTGCTCGCATTGATCATAGGGCGCAGCCACCCCGCAGATGGTCGAACATGGTTGTAGAGAGCAGGCACGCTGGTAACACTTGACATTACTTGACAATCCTGGATCACAACTCGTTGCGTTGATCCCTGTGCAACCTCCGCCAGGGCAGGCTTGGGAGCATTTGTCTGCTTCGCACTGAAATATGCATCCTCCCCCGCGGCAAATCTGATTGCATTCCTTAACACCGGATGCACAGGTCATCTTACAGAGTCCCCCTGGGCAACTCTGATTGCATTCATCGGCGTTGGAGGAGCAGGTCATATTACACAAACCTGCTTTGCATTCTTGTTCGCATATTTTGGAGTCGCATTGTAGAGACTTGCATCTGCCCCCGAGGCATGATTGCGAGCAGTTCACGATGGACGAAGTGCAGGTTAACGTGTCGCAAACGGCTCCTGTACAGGACTGCTCGCATTGATCATAGGGCCTAGTCGCCCCACAGATGGTCGAACATGATTGTGAAAAGCCGAGTGGACAGAAAGCACCTTGGTAGCACTTGACATTACTTGACAATCCTGGATCACAGCTGGTCTTTGTTGAGTTGATTCCTGTGCAACCTCCACCAGTGCAGTCTTGAGAGCATTTATCTGCTTCGCACTGGAAAGTGCATCCCCCTGAAGAGCAAATCTGATTGCATTCCTTGACACCCGGAGCGCAGATCATCTTACAGAGTCCTCCAATGCAGATCTGACTGCATTTATCGGCGTTGGAGGAGCAGGTCATATTGCACTTACCTCCGGTGCAACCTTGTACGCATCTTTTGGAGTCGCACTCTAGCGATTTACATCCGCCCAAGGTGCAGGCTTGTGTGCAGTTCACGATGGACAAAGTGCAGGCTAACGTGTCGCAACCGCCTCCTGTACAGTACTGTGTGCATTCATCATACGGCGTCGTCGCCCCACAGGTAGTCGAACATGGTTGTGGAGAACAGGCAACCTGTTTACACGTGACATTATTTGATATCAGTTGATCACAGTTGGTCTTGTTGCTTGCAGAGTGTACAAAGGAAGCAGTGCAAGATAACAGGGAGAGTATCAGCAGAAACTCCATTTCCATATTTTTCTGTTCAAATCCGTAGGTACTCTAAGAAGTAATGATTAATAAAAAGTGGTCAAGCTACACTCTCCTACTGCTTGAAATAGTTTTAAACCACGTTAACTGAAGGTACAAAACCCAGCAAAATGAAAGTAAAAGTAGATCAAGTGTCTCGCTTGTGTCCGGGTAGACGGTTACTTCTTATTACCTCTGACAAGACTGAAAAAAAAAAAAGAAACCCGAATCGGCGATCCAATGTAAAATGGTCTTTTTTTTTCTAAGGCACCGTTTATATAGAGTAAAGATGTCCAACATTGACGTTACGATGGCAACTGATTTTTGACAGCAATGTTTTTCAAAAATGTGCATTTTTTTGTGTAGAAAAGGTTTTATTTCTTATTTTATTTATTGAATTTTCTATTCAATGAGAATTTTATAATTTTTTTTTATCAAGTCCGGTCATTTAGGGACGTATTTGCCAAGGGAAAAGAAAAAAGACAGTTAAAATGACTAAATGGCAGATCACTCACTCACTGTCACTCTCTCGGATGGCAGATGCTGGATCCCGAGGGGAGGGGTCCCCTATATGGCCTATACGGGGATGTACCGTTGGACAGGGTATGCTTTTTTGACCTCTCTGTCCTAAACAGGGTATATAATTTAGTGAGAGTTTGTCAACAGGGTATTGCCTGCACGAATGATTTGATTTGTTAGGTGAATTTTTATTGGACTCCAAGTATACGAAAGCAATGACTTTATCGTGAATTTGCTCTATTGCAATCGCCAATAAATGGCTTTAAAACAAGACGGCGCTAATATCTTCCTTTGTCCTAAACAGGGTATTAAAATCGAGGGTGTGGTCGTTAAAAGGGTGTCTATTTTAGGAATTTTTTTGTCCTAAACAGGGTCAGGGTTCTTTCTTACAGTATTTTATAACTTGCAGAATTTTTTTGCTCCCTAGGCATCTTTTTTATACACAGATCAAATTTTCTATCACACGATAACCTCGCTTTATTTATGCGGGTGTTAAAGTAAACTGGAATGCATTTAATTAATTCAAAATGGCAGATGATTCCAGTTCTTTTTTAAATAATAAATGACATCATCATGAAATCACTGCTGTTGTTAAAGATTATTTATGTGTTAGCTAACCTTTTGATGTTATCAGACACCTCACAATTTTGGTATTTTTCGCTCTATGGCTACTTTATGATCAAATAAACGGAACATGGGGTTTTTTAGTATTTGGTTCGTTGATTACTTTTCAATGTCAAGAGCTTGAATCGTCACTGATAAGTTTTGCCATATCAAATTCCACTTCAACTTGACAGGGAGGGGATAAAAGAAAGAGAAAATGGCGAGAAGGGTGGGGGGGGGGGGGGGGGGGGTGGGGCGGCAATTATTCGAGGGAGGCGATTATTTTAAATATTTCCGTCTAAGGGGAAAGATTATTTGAGGGAGGCCCAACTCGTCTTCGGTCTTTTTTAACCTAGGAAACTGGGCTGAGACTTTTCCTATGAACCCATTAGAGCGGAGAAGTCGTTAAGTCACGTTGCCATGGTATCAAAATTTCTGGAAGACAACAAACCGAAAATGTAACTTAAAAAGTGAATTCGCACAGCTTCAAACTTCATCGATCTTATTCAGTGTCATTTAATTTGGCAAATGCTGGCGAAGTTTTCTCGGGTTGAATCTAAAAGGACCATATCTAAGTTTAGAAGAGGAAAAAGACAACTTTTGTGTTGTGTTCACCTACTCCTTAAAGTGAGCGTCTGAAATTATGAAGTTTCATGTCGCAGGGGTGCAACGACGGCAAAGAAATGTACAAAAAAGCGTGATGCACGTGCAAATTTGTCAAATAATTTTTGTCAATAAAAACCTTTTACTTTTTTGCCGTTCTTCTTCTGTCGCCGTCCTCGTTGGTTTTGTTGTCATCAACAAATATTGCTACCATGGTGACGTGACGTCATACTTCTCCTTTCTATTAGTCCCGGTAAGCGGGCAAGCCCGGTCAATTGGGCTCATGTGAAGAGGCTCTAAGTCATAGACAACACTGCATTCCAGTTATGGTAATTTCTACTTATTATTTATATTGGAACTGGTGGCATGGAAAGTTCTACACTTCCGCCTGACCCTAGCTATGTTTTTCAACAATTTCCCGCGTTCTCAGCCCCAAAGAATGCCCTTTTAAGAGTTCTATTCGAGACGAACACTTCTTTTAAATAACGCGACCAATGGGCCAAGGTGTCGAAGACATTACTGCATTCTAATCTTTATTTTAACATGTGTCTCTTATTGCTGGGGCTTAGACTGTGATAAAGAAAGTTCGAGGTAATTGAACTTCTGCTTGAGCGATTTTCTTAGTTTTAGTACTTTGCCCCACCATTCTCAGCCTCAAAGTCGATCTTATCCGAGAAATGGCAGAAATAGTTTCTCTGTTTTTTGAAAAAAGTATCATAAGTCTTGGTTATTGACGAAGTTTTCAAAAAATCTTGTGTTTCTGATCTTGACGCAAATAATTATATTGGGAACACAACGGAAGAACCTGATCAAAACGAAGCAAGATACATTTTGCTCACCTTGAGACATTCAGCTGACCGATAAGTAAGAAAGATTACCACGCATTTTATGAGTTCAGTGTTTCCATACGTGAATGTTTCGCTAAATTAGAATTTTGGGAGTTGGCTCGAACTCAACTTGAAAGCAAACTGCTACCAACATTTTATAAATATTTCAATTATAATTATAGACTTAGAACGCCTTTTCTAAGGTAAAAGCTTATCATTTATGACATGAACTGCAAATATCATCGCGCATAGGCGTACGGGAAATTTTTTGCCAGGGGGGGCGGTAAACCATTTGCCCAGAAAAATCTCGCAAGTTGCCCAAATTTTTACGAAAGAGTCGAAAAGAAATTAGGGCCATATTGCAACAAACATAGGCCGTCCTGGCATATGAAGGTGGCTCGATATGGTTTTTCAGGGTCAATACCAAGTCTGAGCATAAACTACGTCGCCATAAACAAGCATTAGGAAAAATTGCGACCATAGTTGTATTAAGATGAAAATTTGTCATCATCAGGGTTGCAATGACATCGGAGTTGTCATAGCAACGAAATGACTCCCCCCGCCCATTACCTATTTCACTTCAGCAATGATTCCCTGCACGGGAACCTTACAAAATCGTTCACAGGAGCTTAATACGGTCGCCTCGATGTTCGTGAAGTTTAAGAAAAACCGTAAGAGCGTTATCGAGATATTTTGGAATGAAGTTTTTATTATTAGAAATACGGTAAGAACAGGAAAATCTTGATTTTTGGCCGTTATCTGTAGAAAACGAAGCGCTTTTGACCTACAATTTCACCTCATAGTAGTTTTAATCTTCTTAAAAACATGTGTGAAACATCGTGGAGATAGCTCTGCTTGATTGCTAGAATCGGAAGAAGGATTGGATTAGTATGTATCGAGACACTGTTGTTAGCGGTTTTGTAAACATTTCGGTCTACTATAACAAATTAGCGAATAATTTTAAACCGTAAACCTTCTCGTAATTCAAACTGAGAATTAGTCAGCCACTTCTTCATTTTCATACCCATTGCTAAATGCTATCTGCCATACTCTGTTCTTCGAGTAGAGATGATTCTAGAAAGTTATGCGAAAGTTTATTTTAATCAATTCACGACTGGAAATAGCCCATTTCAGCTAGTGCAGTGCAGTATAGTATAACAAAAAAAAACTGCAAATATGTAAATTACTCATCACATGCTAGGCAACCACTGTAATGTAACTGGATTATTACGCCGACTTCAGGTTAATATTCAGGTCTTTAAAATAATTAAATAAACATGGAGACGTCTTTNACTGTTGTTAGCGGTTTTGTAAACATTTCGGTCTACTATAACAAATTAGCGAATAATTTTAAACCGTAAACCTTCTCGTAATTCAAACTGAGAATTAGTCAGCCACTTCTTCATTTTCATACCCATTGCTAAATGCTATCTGCCATACTCTGTTCTTCGAGTAGAGATGATTCTAGAAAGTTATGCGAAAGTTTATTTTAATCAATTCACGACTGGAAATAGCCCATTTCAGCTAGTGCAGTGCAGTATAGTATAACAAAAAAAAACTGCAAATATGTAAATTACTCATCACATGCTAGGCAACCACTGTAATGTAACTGGATTATTACGCCGACTTCAGGTTAATATTCAGGTCTTTAAAATAATTAAATAAACATGGAGACGTCTTTAAAAACTGGGTTTGCCCAAATTTTCTCTCGCTGCCCAAAAAGTCTGAGTTGCCCAAAATTTGGGGGGGGCTGCAGCCCCCCTCGCCCCCCCGGCCCGTATGCCTATGGTTTTATATACAAACATGTGGTATTATGGTAGTGCGACGGTTAGTTATGAGTAAGCCTCGATCACCGAAGAAGCTCTCTAGTTACCTTGTGATTATCATTTCCTCTTTGGCCCCTTGTCCCGTTTGGTCGTGAAAGAAATAGCACAATTGCAATGTGGTTGACACAGCAAGAAACGGAGCGACTTTTATAACAAGGAACTATTAAATGGCGATATGTTCTCCTCAGGAAGTAACTAATTAAGAGCGACTTCACGTAAATACCACAGATAGGTGTGCAAGATGGAAAAATCGAAATGCCCCAAACTTTGTCACGACAAAGCCCTTTGGAAACTATTTTAGAAAATACAAGACTCAGTTCGTTTGACTTAATATTTTCCAAAATAATAATATTTTTTAATTTTTACCTTCGAGAGGCCTTCAAACCACCGAAAACTGTGCTTGATACCCTCGCTTCGTGAATGGAAACAGAAACTAATTCTATGACTTTTCTTATATTAAACAATTTTATGATCCTTCCTTTCTACCTAAAAGTTGTTACAATTTCAAAAGATTTCAATCTGATTTTTATTTTTTTATATATTTTTTAAAATTACCCTCTAAATCAGCATCATCGCGACCATCAATTTTGCCATTTTTCGACGGCGAAAATCCCTTCCTGATACATGGCTTTCATTAGAAGAATGGTATTCCAGAGAAAGAGCAATGTTTCCCCTATCAATCTGTGAAATAAAATTCTGGGGCAATTGAAACTGCGAGTTTTTACAACCGAAAACATTTACGGTACTCGCGTGATTTACGACCTCTGAACTTGCAGTTGTGTTGATGAATACAAGCGAGAACTTAGACAGCACTTGAAAATCTGGCACAAATTCGCCCCTTTCCGACAGTTTAAACACACCAAAAACGATGTTAGATTTCACAGTGGTAAATTTTTAAAAGGAAAAGCAATTTTGTTGTACGAAAGTGTGCTATGAACTTCTTGACTACAACACTTCGCTTACGTGCGTATTTGTTTACTTTTGCCGTACATATATGTACAAAACGGCTAATAGTGTCGGTAGCTGTTCTTTCAAATGCTTTCATTTCTCATGAACCAAATCGTTATAGCTATAAAAAAGGAAAACATTTTAGCCTACCTCACATTATTTGACAACAGACCCGAATCCTTTACTGCCTTTAGCGAAACGAGATTGCGACCCAGGTTATACCGCGAAAGCGAAACATGTAAATAATCAAAATTCTTAGTTTCGCGCCAGAGCAACCCTGCAAACGTAACACTAACAAATATTTTGTCGTCAAAAGACTATATAGGGGTAGGCCCTTATACAGTGGAACCGCGATATAAAGAACATACGAATGATTTCCTTCTCCTCAATAATAGTAAAATTAAAGCCACCTGTCAAATAAGCCCCCTCCCTCTAATAAGCGGCCCCCCTTTTCAGGGGAAGAAAGTTAATAAGCCCCGCCCCCTCTCTATCAAGAACCCGCTTCCCACCCCGCATTATTCTTCACTAATAAATGAAAGACTGTATTAATCAATCACGAGCTTCAAGAGTCATGGCCTTATCTATCAAATGCTACTTCCTGGCCTTACGAACTGAGTCACGTAAAGAACGAATTTTCTCTAGTGCGATTAACTGCGTGTCAGTATGAGAATGGATAGAGTGAGAGAGAAAGTGTTCAGAAACAGTAGAGGGCTTAGAAGTAATGTTAGTTTTGTCGACTGCACGTCTGTGTTAGTTAAATCTTTTCTTTCAGACGTCGCTTAGTTTCACCTATATATTGTAAATTACAACGGTTACATTGAACCATGTAGATCACATTTTTAGTGTTACAAGTAATGTGTGAAATGATGGAACGTGTTTCACCTGTAGCGTAAAAGGTATAATGTGAGGCCGTTAGTAATGTATGGACAAGTGGCACAATTCTGTCCACAGCGGAAACAGCCTGGCGGAAAATCGTGGAGATAACGGGTAATTGTGCTTTTTAGATAAGGCCATGACTCCTGAACCTCATGGCCTGAACCGCCGTGACGAATTATTGTAATCCATATCCTTAGTATTTTTCCTTTCCAGTTTTTATGTTGTACCAGTCATTTCCGCCTCTCCCCTTTAAACAATTTTTATTGCGACATTCTCCATCTATATAATATTGTGATTCGTACATAAGTTCAGTAACATCTGTAAACCCGAAGAAGGCTGGTATGGCCATTGGCCAGCCGAAATATTGTTATAAAAAACAATACACGTTGTTTTATTTGTCTTTGGACTTCTCGTTCTTGGTTCTTTATATTTTGGCTGATTAGATCTCTTCTCTAGAGATTCAACGTTTACAACTAGCAGGATCTTCGTCCACGGTTTTTGCAGTTAATTTAATCCCTTAAGAAGGACGGCTTGTCCGTCCGAAATATCGGGAAACCTCAGATCTCCTCTCTCTTTGCTGTTTTGTTATTTATGTCTATATTTTTGTCTTGGATAAAAACAGCAGAATTTGGCTCTCGATATCAAAAGTTTCAAAGTTTCAATGTATCCCAATTGGGGACCCTNGTATGGACAAGTGGCACAATTCTGTCCACAGCGGAAACAGCCTGGCGGAAAATCGTGGAGATAACGGGTAATTGTGCTTTTTAGATAAGGCCATGACTCCTGAACCTCATGGCCTGAACCGCCGTGACGAATTATTGTAATCCATATCCTTAGTATTTTTCCTTTCCAGTTTTTATGTTGTACCAGTCATTTCCGCCTCTCCCCTTTAAACAATTTTTATTGCGACATTCTCCATCTATATAATATTGTGATTCGTACATAAGTTCAGTAACATCTGTAAACCCGAAGAAGGCTGGTATGGCCATTGGCCAGCCGAAATATTGTTATAAAAAACAATACACGTTGTTTTCTTTGTCTTTGGACTTCTCGTTCTTGGTTCTTTATATTTTGGCTGATTAGATCTCTTCTCTAGAGATTCAACGTTTACAACTAGCAGGATCTTCGTCCACGGTTTTTGCAGTTAATTTAATCCCTTAAGAAGGACGGCTTGTCCGTCCGAAATATCGGGAAACCTCAGATCTCCTCTCTCTTTGCTGTTTTGTTATTTATGTCTATATTTTTGTCTTGGATAAAAACAGCAGAATTTGGCTCTCGATATCAAAAGTTTCAAAGTTTCAATGTATCCCAATTGGGGACCCTCATCGTAGCCTACGTGCAGACATCTCCTATTTCCCGAAAAAGGGAATCGGATCAGATTTTTTTCATCACAATCTACTTAAACAATACTGACCCAGTCAAAAAACTCCTTCCTCTGATTTAGTATAACCTGCGACCAGGCGTTCTTTTTTCGCAGGTAAATTTAACATGGCGCGAGACGAGAGACCTTTCGCGACTTCGTCACTCTCTTGGCCGCTTCGCGGCGTAAAAAGGTCGCTCTACTCAGCAAATGCCAAATCTACCCGTTCCCAAGATCGTGAGGCAGACCATCCACGCGTACGTGGGCCGGTTTTGACAGGAACTCATAACTGTTGACGCTTTGATCGTTGACGAAGCAAAAGAGGATGTCATTTGAGGTTTAGGCATTGATCATTGCGTACACTACAAAATCTTTCGTGATATTATGCTTAGATCATTTTGGAATTACGTATCATTCTCCAAAAAGAAAATGCATTAAATGTCGAAGACATCGAATAGGTTCAGTCGTACCCATAGACATTGTAAACGGGAAACTATTCCTGAATTTGCTGACAGAAACGCAATCGCAATTTCATAACTGCTAGTTTAAATTTTATCATTCTCTCCCCTCTAATTCTAAGTGCAGTTCCAAAAATAGAGTCGGTTTTACTCCTCAAAGTTCATTATTTTTAGTGATTGGCTGCTTGCGTGACGTCACTTCCACTTCCGGTTAAACATGTCAAACTGCAGGACCTTTTAGAGGAAACACGTTGAAGAAGGGTAATTTATTCATATCGTGTATTTGTCACTTCAAATTGACTCCACAAAATACAAGTCTGCTATTGAGCAACCGCAGGACATTCTGCTTCAGTGAAATGGCAAACGAATACCTATTTCTTCTGGCGTTCGTTGCATCGCTTCGATTTAAATTTGTTTCTTCGTTCAATCTCGATAGTAAAGATACGTTCGTTTACAAAGGTGCAGCTGGTGAATATTTTGGCTATTCGGTAGCGTTACATGCGCAAGGAAAAGATGATCGATGGTAAGTTTATCAAATGTAATATTAACGACGCTAGTTTACTTTACAAACAAGTATTTTGATTATTACCAGTAGCTTAATTTATACAATAGAGGAAACTCGGACTTAAAAGGAAAGAAACTAAGGAAAACTCTGCTCCTTGGTCGTGTTTTTAAAGCTCCGTTCTGAAGGCTTCATGGAAAAACCGGAAACTTGGAATTTTAATATATGGCTGCTCTCATATAGGAAACTTGTTCTATAAAATAATTGTTATAAATGGAACATAAAGCGTTCCACTCGATGATCGCACAATTGAATCGAAGGACTAATATACAAGAGTAATGAAACCCATCGTATTTGTCTGTCTGTATTGGTTACATGTAAAAACTACATAATACATTTGAAATCGGCGCTGACAGAAAAAAACACCGGGCTCTTTGAGTGTAAAAGCCTGCCTCTGTTCCTTTCCGAAGCACCTTTTAGCGATCAATGGCGATAACTAGATTACATTTCCACTAGAACCTGTCACGCGCGCATTTTCCGAATACCTTTTTATTAGATATGGCCCTTTCTTGACGACAACAAGATCACGTAAATTGATTTTGGAACAGTTGTTATATTATAAATTTGAATGTTATCTGGAGTTGCCGTATCACCATATTTCAAATTATCGTGCACCATTTCGTCGTAATGCAATCTAAAGGAGATTAACGATAACGTTATTAAAAAAAGACTTTCGCTCCAACCCAAAGGATCAAGTGCAAGAAAGCTTACATCCTGTTTACATTTTTGTTTGCGTGTGTTCCCGCACAAAACGCAGGAATGAAAATAATGCTATAAAATGCAAATCAGCTTTCTCGTTAAATCCACATACTTACGGAGATTTTTAAATAATTAAAAACACTCCACCATCTTGAGATTCCCTTTCGAATAACAGGGCACCTTTTTGTTCGAGACTATTATTTTCTGCTGGCGTATTAGGCCCCAGGTTTACCGTATTTCATAATCTTTCTATTTTTCCTTTATTTTAGCTCCCGTAGAAGGTTGGTTTTGCAAACCGAAATACTATTGTGAAATACCATTTGTTTTTGTTTTGTTTTTAATTATTTTTCTCTCGGTATTTTTGCCGTAAGAATGAGTGTTTTCCTGTTTTATTCCTGTTGTACTCCTCCTCGATTGATTATCCACAGGCAGACCACCTTCTGCTAGTGCCGCCGATGCTCTTATTCTTCGGCCATTTCAATCGACCCATGACACATGTAAAGAGGAAATACAAATGAAGTTTACGGTGGTTCTGGGACAAAGCACAGCGACGAACCTGTGGTTAGCGCTGTGGTTTTGTCTTAAAACTGCTTTTTTGTAAAAATGATATATATCTAAGGGTGGGAAATGGCTAGCTTGCGTACTTGGGGGAGCAGAGCCGCGAGAAGATTAGTAGCAAATCGAAATCCCACAGTCAACAAGAAAGTGCCCCGCGCATAACAGTCCCGTCAGATGCAGGCTAGGTAATAAGAGGAGGTGGGGGGATGGGTGGGGAGAAGGGTTGTTTTCTCTCTCCCAACTGTACCTCCGAGAAAAAAAAAAGATTTTTGTATCCTTTATGTACGTTCCGACAAGCCCTTGCCGAGCTGACGTATCTTTCGAAGATAATTAGGCCAAATCATGCAATTTAGGCGCAAAAGCTATGCAAAACGGGTACTGTAAGCACGGGCAGCCCAAATTCGCGTTAAGTTGAAGAGGAAAGTGTTTTTTCATGCTTTAAAGTATAAAAGGGAGGAAAAACTGCTCCGACAATTAAAGAAAACCACAACTCTAGTGAATCAACATGAACAGAAGGCTTGCCACGACCTTTAAAGTGCCTGTTGTTAAAGTTATCACGTTACGCTCAAATCTTTCCCGTGCCTCAGCTCAAATTCTTGATTGAAACTTGTAAGCTGCTGAGTTGGTTTTTACCAATATCATGGGACTTCGGTCACATCGGAACGATTTTGTTTGCACTAAAAACGTCGCGTGAAAACGTATCCGAGAAGCACGATGAGGTCTCGCTTAAATCGCAATGATCATTTGCTGTAAATTTCTGTAATTTTGAGGCTTCTTGTATTTCGGCCGTCTTTGTTTGAAATCTTCAATAATACAATTTTTTTAAGCAGAACTTTTTTTATATAAGAAACGTTAGGCAGGGAATGGGAAAAACTTTGACCGGAACTCTAACGTTCTTGGCCATTGCTTCCCTTGCTTGAAGGCGAAACGAGTACGAAAACGTGCTTCCTTCGGGAATTCACAACTCCAGTGAATCAACATCAACAGAAGGCTTGCCACGACATCCTAGAAAAAACTTAAGAAAATATCTCTATCTTAAGTGCAGTCAAATACATTTTTTTCATGCTTAGCTGTATTGCAGAAGAATTTAGAGAAATTAACATAAGGAATTTTATTCGCTAAATTAATTTTGCTCAACATTCGTGTGCAATGTCCAAAAAGCACGACGTTTTAGAGTCCTGCAGGCCCGTCATTCCTTCATTACAAAATGTAATAAATTCTTTGTCGTTCAAATAATTGTAAATTGTATACTCTTTTATGGGAAAATAAGAATGTACAAACTACCCCTCCCCTGGACCAACATTAACACTTACTTCTCACTTAAATGTTGGCTTAGGGGAGGGTTAGGTTGGCAGTTTCCCAGAATGATCCCATAAGGTTTTCGCCGTTTAAGCCCCGTAGCGAACATACAAAAATATGTCTTCAAACTGATCTCCATCGATACATTTCCTTAAGATAATTAGATAAAAGATTAAAGCATTTTGTCTGTGCTTATCATATTATTAGTTATTATAATCTTCTCTAGGCAAGAGAGGATAAAAGCCCTCGAAGAGATATGAGGCTTCTTCCTTGATTTCGGAGGAAGGGCGAGGTTGCCGTTGCATCACTGTCCGTCAATTGCAAGATTGAGGCGATCTCAGACTAAAAATACGGAAAAATTTCGACCCACTTCCTCCCCCTAAATCAAGATGGAAATAGCGCGTTTTAACCTTCGGGAGGCTTCATCCCATATTTCGGGTTATTTGGGGATTGCTGTTCCATTTTATTCTGTTCAAGATTGTAGCCTAAATAAAGAAAGGCGAGACCCATTTTTGTTGTATCAAAATTTCGTTTTCTTGGCTTAGAATTATTCTGCTTGAGAATGAAATTCTCTCTACCTCTTTCTCTGACTTTTTTGGTCACTTTACCTTTTTGCTTTGTTCATTATTTTCAACATCTTCTTAATTTACACTTTTTTCTAGGGTTATAGTTGGTGCACCGTTAACAAACAAGACGGGAAGCTCCAGAGAGTTCTATCATCGATACGGAAGTGTTTATAAATGCAATGCTAACTCAGGACAGTGTAGTGTAATATCTGTGGACGAGCAACGTAAGTTGAATTTTATCTGTTGGTTGTATGTATGTGCTGTTATTTTGGGTGTGTCGTCAATGTGTCGTTGTACACTAAGGAAGTTATAATATAAAATGGTGTTTGCGCAGGGTAGTAATATTATATATACAGTATACCGACCCATGAAGCTCGCCGAAACACATTTCCCACGTGAATGCCGACTAGGCACTCAAGTCGGCGGTTAAAGTAAACCAGCTTTACTTCCGCGACATATGTACTTTGGCGTCTTTCGCGTAAAAAACCGCCCGAGGTTAGGCTGGGCCGTTGTCTACGTCGCAGACTAAATTTGATCAGAGTCGAGTTTCGTCTGTGTCGCAGGCTGCTGGGCCGAATTGGCCGGATATAACTTAGTATACAGGGTGAACTAATTAACCTGATTGCGACCTATCCCGTTTTTTTTTTTCTCGATTATTTCATCTCGCTTAGTTAGGTGGGGCAGATTAAATTTAAGCTGAGAAGAGTCCTAGTCCGCCGAGCCCAGATAGATGCTCATCTCTCAAAAGAGGAAAATTCATTTCATATCGTAGCTAGTTGTGCAGGGATGGCAAAGAAACTCACCACAAAAAAGGGATGATATTTCAACTTGTTGTTTTAATCGCTAAAACCCACTGTGTTTTTTTTTTTGTCGTTCCCGACCACAACGTGGACAATTTTCCGTTTTCATCATGGTTTTGTAAGGTCCCTCATATCTCCCGTCTAGTATCCGAACCAATTCAGTTTTTTCGGCAAAAACACACACATCTGAGTTAATTGAGACTGACATTCATGTGTTATGCACAAATGTTCCATAACAATCCGACCATGACAGCTTGTAGTGTACGGAGCCGGGAGAATAATGGGACCTCAGTGTTCCCATTTTTCCCTAAGGGCATTGATCTCTCTTAATTGGTTAAACTTCCGTTGGGCGTAAAGAACATTTGTAGCGGGTAACAGACTGTCATATCTCGGGTGGTCAAAAGCTTTTAGCACCTCTTCAGCAGATTATGAAAACAGAGCAATTATTTTCACCTTTGGCTGGAGCCTCCTGGCCAGCTGTTTGTATAATTTGATCAATTGTTTTTATCTTTTCCTTTCGTGTTTTTTTGGAAAGTTTGCGGTTGCCTTAAATGAATTTCTTTATTGATTGATCTTAATTAAAATAATTGCACCGGACGTGAAAAAATTCTGGTCTAAAGAGACCGTGATCCAAATATTTTCCCAGGAGAGTTTGAAGACAATCCATTTCAAGATGATATATTATATTTGTAATCGCGCGACTGATGTATTATTTAAAATAGTAAGTACGAAGTCGGCTTATTTAATAGGTGTCGTGTCTGTTTAATTTTCTTTTGAGAATTGGCGCCGCGTCTTTTTTCAAAAACATTTTCAAAGTAAACTACGTACAATCCCGGACATTTACTGTTAACTTCTTAAACAGGAATTATAATACAATATTAGTCATACCTTTATTTTCGCTTGGGTTTTCGCATGTTCAGAACATATGTTTTCTGTGAACTGGTTGCATTTGTATTAATTCCGGAAATTCTCGGAGAAAATGTCGGGATCAGAGGAGAAAGTCAGCAGAAGTGAAGTTAGAGGGAGTAGAAATTAAAGCAGCTACTGCTAGGTTAAGTCAAAGTGTCGCCTCTTTCGTTATCCGAGAGTTGCATGGGTGTGTCTTTTAATATTCAGAGGTGATTTTTTTGTTTAAGGTCATGCCATAGTTTAACCTTTCACGTAGACATTCTCTTCGTTCGTCACGCAATCTCCCCACAGTAACGAACATTGGGGCGGACCTGCGATACGTGACGAGGTCACACAATCAGACGGTCTGCCATAGTCTGTTAAGGTCGCTCTGAGCCACACACGAATATATTAAACTTTCATCTGTTGTCTACGTAACTGGAATTTTTTTGGAACGCTAATTGAATTTTAAAAAATGCTTGAAAGCTATTTCTGAGCTTTCACGATATCGACATCAGAGGTAGCCTCCCACGCAAACGTTCTTTTGGCTCGTCACTCACTTCTGCGCAACGTAACGTTCGTGGGCATGGAACGCGTGATATGCTTTTGGAATGCTCCAAAGACCCTCTCTAAGCCACCAAAGGTTCTATCTTAGGAGGATATGGCAGTTTTAGATCAATTAGCTACTGACATCATTAGCTTGTGCCCCGGCTTGTGCCTTATACACAAAATGTTCCTGTAGCGTTATGCACGGCCATGAAGACCTTGTTTGGTTGATGTTTGGGATCAATTATGTTTCTGGGAAACTGCCCATTTACCCCTCCCCTAAGCTAACCTTAACACTTACTTCTCACTTAAGGCAAAAAACGCAAAATGATGGCTTAGAAGAGGGAATTGATACAATTGATCTGATGTATCCTTGCATTTCGCGTAGCATTAAAACTTGAAAAAGTTGGCCCAATTTTTTTTAAGCTTCATCCTTGTCCATCCTTGCCATCCGTAGCAATAGATGACAGGAAACAGTTTCCATGCCTATATATATTCTTGAATAACAAAACTGGACCATTATTTCCAGAATTACATACCACTGATGCGAAGGCATGTTTTTTTAAAAAAGAAATGTATGAAATGGTTGAATGTTTGAATATCTCCACAGGTCAAACAGATAAAGAAGAAAAGAGTGGGCAGTGGCTTGGAGCAACGGTAGTCACTTCCCCTTCCACCACTAACGATGGAAAAGTGCTGGTAGGAACACCCACACTCAGTGTTAGTTTTTTCTTAGCCTGCGTAGCGCTGACGAAATTAGGCTGATTTAACAACAGAACGGGAACGTCATTTGACGACGGGAAAGGCGCGGAAAGGACTAAATTCGACTTTCGGTGCGTAATTTGCACCTCTTCCATTGGTCAAGCCAGTTGTTTGATTTGCGCGCGCAGTCGTCAACTGACGTTCCCGTTCTGTTGGTAAATCAGCCAATTGTTTGTCCGCGCATGGATGCAAGTGTTTTGTTTTGCTAATATAAACCTATTGCTTTTTTGCCGTTCGCGTCGCCGTCGTCGTTGCTTAGTTTTTGCTACGATGGTAACTTGACGTCACAATTCTCCTCTCTAATAGGCTTCTTCCTACTTTTCCAAAACCGCTAACTTTCAAAACGAGCCTGAGTCCAAAACGTTTCATGTAAAAATGAGTTTTATTTGCATGAGAATATAAAAACTTGTAAGTTGCGCACGGCGGTCGTTTTTGGAGACGCTTGATTTTATCATGAAATAATAGTTGTCATTTTAGTTATGATAGTTTTGCTGTCGAATCATTTCTCTTCTACTGCCCCAAATATTTTACCCTTGGAAATAAATTCTTCACTAACATGAAGGTTTTTTTCTTCCAAGATTTTTTAGTTATTTAAAGACTCTGATTGTTGGTTGTTGCGGGTTGTTGTTGGTTAAAACCCGCGACCTCCCGCTCAGCAGACCGGCACTCTCCCAACTGAGCTAACCAGGGGGCGGTTCTTGTTGATTTTTGTAGGTTTGTGCACCGAGATATACATACTGGGGTAGAGTAACCAACCCGAATAAGAAGGACAGAATACTTATGGGAAAATGTTTTACTATTCAGAACAATTTAGAATACGCGGAGAAGATTAAACAAACCTGCGATCACGGTGGTAGGCATAAATATCCTCTTATCTATTAGGCTCGTAATATTTTCAAAGTGATCAGTATTTATTCAGCCTAAACTGGACTTTTTTGGAATAAGCTGATTCAGAATTGTTTTCTAGTTCTATCGTCCCATAGTTCTAGTCAGTCATTCGTGAGCGTTCTGTTTCGATTAGAAAGCAAAAAAAAATCCGTAACCTTTTTTAACCAGCGTACAGTTAAAAGGCTGCCCTTTTTTCTTGTATCGATGTCCCAAATCCTTCGTTAAAAGCAAACGACATACGAAAATTTTTCGCAATCAGGGGTCTCAATAAAAATTGAAGAAGCCAGCAGATTTGAATAGAGTAACCGCGACCAGTAGGCCCGTTCTTCAGTGGGACATGCTAGCCCAGAAAATATCTAAAAAATTTCCAATCCCTAAAAGGTAATTTCCAGCTTTCTCGGGAAAAAGTGAGTACAATACTAATTAATAGTGGCAGTTTTTATGTGTATAATACATTTCTTGGAAAACAATGAATATGAAGTAAATGAAAGTGAGTAGTAGCACTGACACTGCACATCATTCAAAATGTAGCAGCCAGTCACTTATTGTCAAATATTTAACTGTTGTGACTGTTTTAACACGTTTTGACAGAATCTTTCTTTAATATGATACTTCATTTCCAGCTCCGATGGCATAAAACTAGCCGACTTCTATGAGCAAAGTAGCTGACTCGTTTCGTCGATTGTCGGTGCTTATTTATACCCCTGCGTAATAATAAACACTTAATGACTGGTCCCGAGGAAAACAGTAAATTTTGCTACATTGAGATTCGAGGGAAACAAAATTAAATGTTTCTCGAGGGACCAGTCTTTAAGTGATTTGTTATATAGGTGGAAAGTTTGAAGCTGGAAATTCATTAAGCCTCGCTGTTAACAGCGGTCGTCGGTCAACATTAGTGAGTAACAGTACAATGTTAGCCTCTGACGTCACAGATTTTGCAGTGTATCCCGCTCAGAGATTTTGGCGGGAAACAGTTTCATTGTAGATGTCATGTGACCTCAAAGTAACCAATGACTGCTTTGCTACTCTTCCAGGTAGGGTTTTAAAATTTTGTTCTTTATTTCTAGATGATCCGACAAATGATAATTATAAGGACATAAAAGATGCTACGTGCCTAGAAGGCTTCAGTGGAGCCATGCTGACAAACGGCGGATTTCAAACTTATGTAATGGGACTACCTGGCCGGAAGTTGGATGGTAAGTTCAAACGTTCTTGGTATTTTTAGATGAGGGGTGCTTTCCATTATGCCAAAATTTTTGGAAATTTCGGTCTAGAAATAAATGGAACGCTTCGCTCCGCTTGAAAACTTTCTGGTCAAAGTGGTCCACCTCTGATCCAGAGCTAGTCCTCTTTGACTGGTCGGTCTGGTCCGACCGAAACTTACCGTTCCACTTTCAAAAATATTGTTTCTAGTCTCACTTCGCAGAGAAGTAATCAATATTTTGGTCTAAACGTAAATGGAACGCTTCGGTCCGGTTGAAAACTTTGCTTCAATCGAACAATGTCGTTCTAGTTGCATTGGTTTCTGACTGGTCTGTTTGGCAATGGAAAGCACCCGAGATTTTCTTAATGGGGTTTTTAGCTACAAATATCCCTAGAAATACTTGGGAGAAAGCTTTATCACTCGTTCCAAAGGTTTAATTTTTTCTTCTCGTTTGCACTTGAGCCGCAAAGCAACAGAAAGAAAGGAAAAACCCCTCGTACCTTTCTGATTTCTGATTTCTAAACTCTTTTTTTTGCCCAAGTTACCCCTGTGTAAAATTTTAGTTGTACGAAAGGGGTTTAAGTAAGTTGATATTTGGTATCCGTTTTATCCAGCGTGCGTGGCCAATTTTTATAGGGCGCGCGAGGGGCAACCTCGTCCCCAGGGCTTTTCCCTTAAAAAAAATTTTTGAGGGAAAAGCCCGGGGGCCAAGGTTGCGCGAGGGGAACACGCGAAAGGGAGAGGAGGCGCATGTAGTGAAGGCCCTATTTTACCGTTTTCTACGTTCTTTGGTGTGCTAAGAATTCCATTCGCTCAGGGCGTCTCGTGGGAGTTAGTCTGTCACCTCAAAGTGTTATTTTTCATTCAATGGACATTCGAGTCTTGTAAACAAAACATACGCCGCGCCCTACTATTTAGAAACTTTAACAAACTCAAGGAAGTTGGCAGCATTTCCCTTTCGTTGCAGGTTCTATGTCAGTGTTTAACGTGCCTGTGGAGCCGGACACGACGTTCTACACCACTTGGGCTGATGGTAAAGATGAAAGCAGACCAAAAGATCGAACTGGACAAAACTTTGGTGAGTAATGTAGTTCCGACGTTATGTACTGTCAGAACAACTAAAGAAATAAATTTTCGTCTTGCTGTTGAAGCAGCATACCTCATTTAAATAAGTTCTTCCTTCTTTGTTTTTTTTTCTCGTCAGTGTACTCTTTTGATTTTACCTGCTACCTAGAACCTATATTGTTCAGGGAGCTAAGAAGGAAACCAACTGGTTCATTTAGCTTTCTAGCTCGCACATTATTTTCATTAAATTTAATTAATCTGCTATTAGAAGTAAGTCGACCAGATTGTAATATTAACCATGTACATCAACAAAAGGATAATAAAGATTATTCTATTCTATTCTACTAATATTTTTCCAAGTTTGGACCTGATTTAAAAACGTGTTAATGTATTTCAAAATAATATTTTCAATTGGTTCTTGTCTTTAAATGCATTGACACGTTGTTTGTCAGCTTGGTACTAGGAGTAAGTTGAGTGTCAGCTTCTAAAGTGCTTGGAGTTCGACTTGACTCGAACATCCGCGACTTCAAGGAAAGCGTTTTCTACATTGCCATTCCCTAAAAAAAGTCAAAACAGTCACCTTCTTCAAGCTTGTTAAACGCTCTCAACAGTTCACCCGGAGCGATAATTACCAAACGATTTATGCTGCCAGAATCAGTCTGATCAGTGAATTGGGAAGAATCAAATCATAGTGCAGATTTTATAGGTCGCGATTACATCACTGAAATCAAATTCCTTTACTTCTTATCTTCTAAAATTTTGATCTGTGCCTTGCTCATCTGTAGGATATGCTGTTGCCGTCGGAACTTTTACATCAAAAACCAGAGAAGGTACTAGTTATAACGACACTATATAAGTTAGGCTTAGTTGGTAAAAGGGCAAAAACAAAGGAAAAAACAGAATGGAAGAAAAACCTATCACAGAACTTCAACTGCTTCTTACCAATTCTCCTTCGTCAAGCGATGTTGTTTCCGCCATTTTGCGTTATAAAGCCATTGGGCCGGGCGAGTATAGAATCCATGAGAACCGTCCCGGTTTAGCCGCCGGCGAGTTTTAGATTTCGAGTTGTACATAAGGCGGCTTCGTAATGGCTCTAGAAGCGAACAGACAGTAAAACACACAACAAAAACGCAAGTCGAGTAATTTTTATTGCGTTTTTGTTTTTTCAATAAATGGATTTTAGGACTTTCTTGTACGTTTTCCATACATTCTCTTATAAAATTCAGATTCCAACGAACTCTCAGATATATATATAGAGAGAGAGTCTGGGCCTCCTGTGGTTTAGCTTGGGAATTGAAAGTCACCCGGCCGTTAGCGCAAAGGAGTGAGTCACGAAGAATTGGGACGTAACCGTTTACCTCGCGATTCTCAAGTGGAGAGCTTCACACAGGATAGGCCTGGTTTACAAAGACAATTTTGTTTCTAGTTTGAATTGAAGTTCAGTGGAAGTTCTCCTAAAGGACACTCTCGTAAGCGGACAGCTCTACTTACAGTCACCTTCAGAAAACTCCACGTTTTTCTCAACTCCCAAACAAACTCTGTATTTTTACATTCCCGTAAGCGGCCAGCTCCCAGTTACGGACACTTTTTTGAGTCTCGAGGATGTCCACTTGTAATTGTAAATTGTGATTTGTTTAACCACGAAGCACTTAAGAATTGGCTGAAACGTGTCTGCGCGTTTCAAATCGAACTGGAATTTGGAAGTTGGTTTTTAAGGAGAGGAGAATACCGGAGTACCCGGAGAGAAACGTCTCGGAACAAGTGAGAGAACCAACAGCAAACTCAACCCACATATGGCGTCGACGCCAGGATTCGAACCCGGGCTACATTAGTGGGAGGCGAGTGCTCTCACCACTGGGCCACCCGTGCTTTCGAGAGCTTCCGCTGTAGAGACCTATTCGGCTAACTCAATGTTGCACCCTATTCAAACCCTTTGATAATAAAACGTTTTGTTTCAGGAATTTCCATATCGTTTAAATGTGAATGCCACATTATGATGCAAATACAATTTTTTAAAGAATCTTAGGAGAGATTTGAATTGGGTACAACATTGAGTTAGCCGAATAGGTCCATTAACTCGAACGTTTATGTTCTTTTGTCACAGAATTTGTTGCAAGTTCTTACCGTACAGGAAATCTTCAAGGAAAGGTATTATTCAGAGGTTAAGAAGATTCAATACCAGCGACGCTTAGCGTTTTCACACTACGTTATACTTAAGTGTCAAAGACTGTTGTGATTGCTTATCTATATTCGAACTGAGTGCTTTGCATTACAAAAGCAACATTTTCTTGAAGGACAACAACATAGGCAGGAATTAAAAATTGGAGAAATATGTTATTTTCAGTATGCTTTCAGACAAGATACATGTAATGTTAAAGTAAAAATACTCCTGTAAAACTGCGTGGCATGGCATTCGTGCGATATGCGTCATCATTAGGTAATATTTAACAATTATTCTTTGAAATCGAGGTGAATAGGTGGTTTTCACGTTACGTCATCGCCGCCATGCTGGTGGACGGTAAACAAAAGATCGCTCATTAGCTGGCTTTGTTTGTCCACCAGCATTTGTTCATTTCATCATTGTTATTTGTGTCTCCCGAGATTACATGAAAACCACCTATAGTGGCTAAATATTTACCGAAATATTCCCAAAGCCACTATTCACCGAGATTGAAAAGAATTGGAATTGAGCCTGCGATTAGTTGAAAACTAGTAACTTGTCAGCGGAGAACTTCACAAAACACGTAACCTTGATGAGTGGACACTTGAGCTTGCGATATGGTCATGTGATACTGGTTAGTCGATACCCTGTTTTGACCGCTATCGATTGACCACAACAACGTATGCAATATCAAGTTGCAGGCTCCCAATCCAGCTAGAGAGTATGACATTTCGCCTTGGTACGGACGGAGGGACGAACAGGCAGACGTACGGTCACGTGATTACCAAATTTCTCGGGTGGATAGATAGTGTTGAGATTGGTTATTTGGTGCTCTAAAGTTGAACAGGTATCAAGTGATGACTCTTGAAACATGGTTAAAGATCTATACAAACGTCTGTAATTTTGTTACAGCGTCCCCTCAAACCATGTAAACTCTTGAAAATATTTTTCAGTTTTTAACTCGTGGGGACGAGCGAGCGTACCACGAGTTATTGCAGGGACTACTGGATATGCAAATTAGTCACTCGCTCACTCGTAGTAGACGGACATCGGGTCGAGGTTAATCTGAATTCCAGAGTGCGAAGATCTATCGTTTCCGATGAAGCACACGCTCCCCGAAGTTCGGTGTGATCAAATTCTTATGAGAACGTGCATCGTACGCTGCTCAGACTGAGAGTTTTCTTTGTGGCAATTATTTTACAGCACGGTTAGAGGTCTTACCAAATTTAAGACACGGAGGAGGCTTTCAGATGAGTACGATGGTTAAACTCGGGATTTGATTGACGAGAAGATGAGCATTTTCTCTTCGACTCCGCAAGATCACGGGGGATAAACTGTATACAAATTCCAGCTTTCTGGAAAGTGGTCTGAAAGTGAGAAAATATCATGTCATGCTATTCTTAAGAACCTGTATAAGCCAAAAATGGATGTGATTTTGACCAGTAGCTTCAAAGTAACAGCGGAAATCGAGATAAGAAAACATATGTTTTGCATCATACTTCGTAGACGAGGTGTATCGGCTTTGTTAAGCATACAATGTATGTTCTTTCATTCATTCATTACCGTGAAATGCGTTCTGTTTTTGTTGTTGTTTGTTTTAAACTGTCAGTAGCGCCGTTTTACGCGGCTCGATCATCTTTAACGGCGTTTGCCGATGGATTTTCCGTGGAAGAGGCATTAAATAAAAAACCTTTCGCTGAAAGGACGTCTTTAGCCATAGTGGTGTAGTGGTCAGGTGAAGTTCGCAACGAGCCGAAGGTGCGGGGTTCGAGCCCTGCTCATTTCTTTCTTTCTTCGGTCTTTTTTTCTTTCTTTTTTTTCCCGTTTTTGTTTTGTTGTTTTTCTTTAAATGTATACCTAAATACATAACTCTTATTTAATAAAGTGCAATAAACAGCAAGAAAAGTATTGTGTTTCCTCTTGATTAAATATATGGATAAACAATCTGAATTTCTATCATTTCCTACAATTTACTGTGGGAAAACCGGAATTGATAACCATTTGATTATTTTAACAACATAGGCAGGAATTAAAAATTGGAGAAATATGTTATTTTCAGTATGCTTTCAGACAAGATACATGTAATGTTAAAGTAAAAATACTCCTGTAAAACTGCGTGGCATGGCATTCGTGCGATATACGTCATCATTAGGTAATATTTAACAATTATTCTTTGAAATCGAGGTGAATAGGTGGTTTTCACGTTACGTCATCGCCGCCATGCTAGTGGACGGTAAACAAAAGATCGCTCATTAGCTGGCTTTGTTTGTCCACCAGCATTTGTTCATTTCATCATTGTTATTTGTGTCTCCCGAGATTGCATGAAAACCACCTATAGTGGCTAAATATTTACCGAAATATTCCCAAAGCCACTATTCACCGAGATTGAAAAGAATTGGAATTGAGCCTGCGATTAGTTGAAAACTAGTAGCTTGTCAGCGGAGAACTTCACAAAACACGTAACCTTGATGAGTGGACACTTGAGCTTGCGATATGGTCATGTGATACTGGTTAGTCGATACCCTGTTTTGACCGCTGTCGATTGACCACAACAACGTATGCAATATCAAGTTGCAGTCTCCCAATCTAGCTAGAGAGTATGACATTTCGCCTTGGTACGGACGGAGGGACAAACGGGCAGACATACGGTCACGTGATTACCAAATTTCTCGGGTGGATAGATAACTGATTTTTCTTAGCCATGGGGCTCTGCCATCATCATTTTTAAATATTAGAAAAAATTTTGTTTTTTCTTAGTGAATTGGCAATTTCGGAGTTGCGTAGGGAACTGGGGCGAGTTTAAAATTTAAACTAATCGCTAAACTGACACCACCAAAAGGACATGTTGAGATTGGTTATTTGACCACGTTTGGTGCTCTAAAGTTGAACAGGTATCAAGTGATGACTCTTGAAACATGGCTAAAAATCTATACAAACGTCTGTAATTTTGTTACAGCGTCCCCTCAAACCATATAAACTCTTTAAAATATTTTTCAGTTTTTAACTCGTGAGGTAGCGAGCGTACCACGAGTTATTGCGGGGACTACTGGGTATGCAAATTAGTCACTCGCTCACTCGTAGTAGACGGGCATCGGGTCGAGGTTAATCTGAATTCTAGAGTGCGAAGATCTATCGTTTCCGAAGAAGCAACGCTCCCCGAAGTTCGGTGTGATCAAATTCTTATGAGAACGTGCATCGTACGAGAGTTTTCTTTGTGGCATTTTTTTTACAGCACGGTTAGAGGTCTTCCCAAATTTAAGACACAGAGGAGGCTTTCAGATGAGTACGATGGTTAAACTCGGGATTTGATTGACGAGAAGATGAGCATTTTCTCTTCGACTCCGCAAGATCACGGGGGATACACTGTATACCAATTCCAGCTTGCTGGAAAGTGGTCTGAAAGTGAGAAAATATCATGTCATGCTATTCTTAAGAACCTGTATGAGCCAAAAATGGATGTGATTTTGACCATTAGCTTCAAACTAACAGCGGAAATCGAGATAGGAAAACATATGTTTTGCATCATACTTCGCAGACGAGGTGTATCGGCTTTGTAAAGCATACAATGTATGTTCTTTCATTCATTCATTACCGTGAAATGCGTTCTGTTTTTGTTGTTGTTTGTTTTAAACTGTCAGTAGCGCCGTTTTACGCGGCTCGATCATCTTTAACGGCGTTTGCCGGTGGATTTTCCGTGGAAAAGTTAAGGCATTTAATAAAAAACCTTTCGCCGAAAGGACGTCTTTAGCCTTAGTGGTGTGGTGGTCAGGTGAAGTTCGCAACGAGCCGAGGGTGCGGGGTTCGAGCCCTGCTCATTTCTTTCTTTCTTCGTTCTTTTTTCTTTCTTTTTTTTCCCGTTTTTGTTTTGTTGTTTTTCCTTAAATGTATACCTAAATATATAACTCTTATTTAGTAAAGTGCAATAAACAGCAAGAAAAGTATTGTGTTTCCTCTTGATTAAATATATGGATAAACAATCTGAATTTCTATCATTTCCTACAATTTACTGTGGGAAAACCGGAATTGATAACCATTTGATTATTTCAAACAACGTACCCACGAGTGGACGATAGTCTTTCTTTGATTGTGTTAAACTGTAAAATTCGTCATGCATCTTCTACTTGGAAGGAACTAATTCGAAAATCACTATGTTCGCCCCTTTTCAGGAATATCACAGAAATTGTGAAAAAAATTAGGAGTTCATATGGTTTTGGAGGACGCTGTAACAAAATTACAGACGTTTGTATGGATTTTTAACCATGTTTCAAGAGTTATAACTTGATTCCTGTTCAACCTTAGAGCACCAAGGTTGGTCAAATAACCAATCTCAACATGATCTTTTATTTGGTGGTGTCAGTTTATAGATTAGTTTAAATTTGAAACCCGCCCCAGTTCCCTACGCAACTCCGAAATGGCCAATTAGCAATGATTTTCTGAAGCTCTTGTAAGCGATCACTCTCGATTGCTTTACCATGTGGTCGCTTACGAGAGATCATTCTCGTAAGCGACCAGCTCTAGTTACAACCACTTTTTCAATTTCCGAGGTGGTCTCTTATGGAGAGCTTCGACTGTATTATGCATATTAATTACATAGTATTTGCAAGCCGCTCAGCTAAGTGACTCATCATTGCATTTTATTCTTGTAGGTTGTCGCTTTTGGCATTCCATCCGCAAGAGTTAACAGCCTTGTTAAAAGGTTTACACTTCCATTGCCCAAAGACCCTAAGGTATACCTTACTTTCGTCTTTCACTTCAATTTTGGCGAAACCAGTATGTTAATCATAATTATATGCTCGCGCACCTATTTTTTTAAATAAGAGTTTGTGTTTCTTTAGTTTCAGATGGGAAGCAACTTCGGGCAGTCACTATGTGCAGTCGACTTGAATAATGACGGGTAAAAATAAACATACTCTGAGTAGTTTCATTCTTAGAGTGCACCATGATTCATCGTGTGGTCCTCCGTAGCTTAACCCTTTAAGCCCTAAGAGTGATCAACATCAAATTTCTCCTTGTAATATCAATGCTTTGTAAAACAGAGTGATCATGAGAATTATGGACATGATCACACAATATGTATTTGCTTGATATTTTATCAACTTCTCCCCACTACTTCTATAGGAAATGAATAGGGGCAACAAATGAGAATTCAAATTTAGATCTTAGGGTTTAAAGGGTTAATACAGCCGTCAAACCTGTATTAAGCAGACAGTTAGCTGAGGAATGTTTCAAACGTTACGTCTCATATTTTAAGTAAAACAGACACCTTTATTTATCGGACACCAGCGAAGGTCCCGTGGGTGTTTCTTCTCATATTTTTAGTAATACATATTTATTATTCCGTGTGTTTGCTTATTTTATTTAATCTATTTTTTATTCCTTTCAGTTTTACAGATATGTTGGTCGGTGCTCCGTATCACCGTCACGAAAAATTCGGTGATGAAGGGCGAGTGTATGTGTACATGAACAACCAAAAGGTACAAATTGCATAATATTTCTTATCCTTAGTTCGCACAACTACAATTCATCCTGCGTGTTCTTCCCATGTTTACCGCTAAATCGCATAACTATGGAAAGAAGATGGAAAAATGGATCCTTGTTGATGTCTATAGTAATTACCTTTTTTGAATTTCAGACACCACTCAACCACATGCAAGAATTAACTTTAGATGGTCCAAAGGAGAAGGGTTCCCTGTTCGGCTTTGCCATGGCAGTAGCAGGGGATTTAAACAAAGACGGTTTTCCAGGTATTTTAAATACGCCGAATGATTGTGACAAAGTATAACAAAGGAAGAGATAAGAGTTGCTCGCACTAACAGAAAAATTAAACTGATTTCAAAACCCGCGAAGCCAACCTGGAACTCAAGAGAGATCGAAACGAAGTAGGCTTGAAATTCATGGTAAAGTGTGTCAAAATACCGCCTGGGATTATTAACGAGCCCAACTAATTACTTAATCAAATATCCGAATTCGAAAAGAGAGCTTAAATACGAAAAATTACTGATTATTTTTAACGATGCAGGGTGCAAAGAAATTTATCTTTAAAGCTTGCCATTCGGGCAAGCTGTACTTAGTACGCACTAGCCTAAAAGTCATTTCGACTAGCCGTAAAAGAAAGGGTTTTTTCATGAACGGGATTGATTATAGTTCTTCTGTGATCTCTGAACTTCACTTGCCAGTCGGGCAAGTAAAAACAGAATTCAGCAGCCTCGCAAAATCCACTAGCCCAGGGCTATTGTCACTACTTTCTTTGCACGCTGCGAAGGCGTTTGATATAGTGACGTGAACACTGAGTTTTTTCATGAGCTATCCAATATTGAACTAGTATTGAGTTTAGAAAAGTCACATCGCCGTATTAGTGCGAGCTTGTCGGACAGCATTTTGCCTATTATACATTTTCACCTTAAATGTTGTCATCTGACTCTTAAAATTTTCTTTAACCAACAGAGGTAGCGATCAGTGCACCTTATGGAGGCAACGACAGGGGAGGTGTAGTTTACATATATTTTGCTACAAAAGATGGAATCGAGACTTCGCCTAGACAGGTTTGGGGTTCTTGCTCGCAGTATTTCGTCAATTTCCTGCAATGTTGTCATATAGTGACATAATTACTTTAGACTTCGAGTAATCGTGATGAAGGGCGCACAAAATACGCGAGCGCGCGTGAAACTTCACCCACGACGAAGGTAACATGGGGAAGAAAAAGACTCTCCTCTCGCGAGGCGATTTCTACGCGCGCAGGTCCGCGCGCTCGCGTATTCCGTTCAAAAATGTTCAATATACTCCACTAGGCTCCAGTCGTCAACCACTTGAGTCTACTCTAGTCGTAAAATACCTCTAAATTTTTTTACCTCCCACGGATAGAAGTAAGCAAAGAATCGGTAGAATCTATTTGTGTTTCCAATGGAATATAGTCATGTCCCCGTATTGGGCAACACTCATCTAGTTCGCTTAACTGTCCCTAAGGAAATATGGGACAAGCCGTACTAGTGTAAATTTCTTTTTAGGGCATCGAGAACATCACTAACGAATATTTTTGACCCCGCCGAATGCTCGGGAATTTAATATTTGCCAACTTTCTCAGGCTAAGTAACTCTCTTAACTCCTTTTCGTTTTCAACAACAACCATATAAATTAGCGGTAAACACGTTTTCTTCTTGTAAAGGAGACGATCTTACACAACGTCGATTTTTAGCGCAACAGCCAGAGTGGTGTAACGTTTTTGCAACTTTGTTTCGACTGGTTGCATCATTTTTCCAACAATTCAACACTGCGTTCCGCTAAAAGTCGTCGTTGCAATTCGTCCCGTATAACATCACTTTTAATAAGATTTTTATTCGCCAAGTGGTGGGCTGATACCTCGGAACGTGCGCACTAAAATGCGACGATTGAAAAAAAATACTTTCTCGTTCTTTGAATTCGTTTATCGCGGTTGGTTTGTCACTGTTACATGTCAGTTTCTGGCTTTAAAACCACTAAATACCTTTCCTCGCATTTTTGTTCCTGATATTTCTTATTTTTCAACGTTCAGATAATCGAAGCTTCTCAATTCTCCTCTGGTACAAAGACTTTCGGATATTCACTTGCTGGTAATTTGGATGTTGACAATAACGGCTATCCAGGTAGAGGATTGCGTTTTCTTACTCACTCCCCTTTCCTCGCTATTTCCATTCCTCTCTCTCCTGTTTCATCTACCCCTCCCTCTCTCCCTCACTCACTCACTCAGTCGCGCGCTTTCTCCAACAACCACCTACCCATCCACCCAATCATTCAGCTGCCCACTAACTAACTAGTCACTCATTCATTCATTCACCCACTCACTCTTTCATCCACTGCATCCAGCTTTCAAAAACAGTACAGCACCCCTTTAAACGTTTTTCCAAAACCTCTTTCTTGTTTTGTAATTATGAACACGCCGCATCATTTTGTCTTATTGCTGAATCATTTCCTTTCTTCCATGGTAGATCTCGCCATTGGTGCATATTCATCAGACCAAGCCTTTCTTCTGAGGTTAGAAATACACTATAAATTGATTTTAGACCAGATTTTATCCCTGAACAAGTTCTAGTTAGTGGGGGTGACACCAAGTCATTACAGGTCAGTATTCTGAAAGTTTCAAGTCAGTGCTCCTGCGCGATCAATACTGAGCAAACACAATGAACAGGATTCTAAGAAAACAGCCTATATTTCGCGGCCCCACCACTCATTTCCCCGCGAAATGGCGTCTGAGAAACGAGCGCAGAAATTCCATACTGATGATGTATCACTACCCAGATCTGGGTAGAGCTTCTGATTTGTCGTGCCCAATGGAAAATTTGCTTCCGCCAACCAGAAGAACAAGGGTACTAAGCCCACAACCGCCAAATTGATCGAGTTGGGAGAACGCGAAATCGGGGAAACAAGCTTTTTCTTTCTTACGTTTAACGCGTAGTTACTTTCATTATTTTTGGGTCGTAATTTTTTGTTCTATTTTCTATACCTGGCAGGTCGCGGCCAATTGTAGACATGCAAAGTCAAATAATACTGAGTACTACAGACATTGCGCTGGAAGACAACAGTTCATTACAGTTAGCAAGTGATGGTGTCTTTCGCCAAAGGTATTTTAGTTAACAAAAGAAAGAAAAAAAACATTGTCAAGCTGAAACTCAATTGAACGACCCACACCCTAGATAAAATGGTCATCATGAGAGATAACGCAACATTTTAATGGGCACGACGAGATAGAAAAGCATTTGAAAATTTTTTTTGAAAAGCTCAAAATGGCGGGAAATTGGCCTTTTGCGTCATGGTCTTTAAAAAATATTTATTTGTTACATCATTCGTTGAAGTTTAAATTATACTGTTAATCTTGTGACGTCATTTTCCCGCCAAAACCGTTAAAATCGAAAAACGAAAAAAAAACCCGATTGTTTGGAAAAAAAGGTCTACCATCCAGCAGTTCCTGGAGTGCAGTTTCAGGCGTTCTGCTAACCCAGCGTGAAAGAATAGAGAAAGCCATTTGAGATGCTTCTTTATTGAATAGAAAGAGTGACATGTCATATTACCATAACTTGGTCTAGGTTAGGAATGGTACTCATTGCTTTATTTACACTTTCTTACCTTTCAGCATCAACATAACCGTTTGCTTGAAATTCGAGAATCTATTATCAAATCCGTCCTTTGGTGAGTAGTACTTTTGATGTGTGGCATACTAGAGTGTTCCTAGTACCCTATTTTTTCGGAACTAGTGGTCTATTATCAATGCTGCGTTCTGATTGGTTGAGCTACTACTAGGCTAAATGTTATAGCCCCCTAGTAGCGAAAAGCGCCGCTTTGAAATGCAAAACAATGGCGGATTAATCGCGTTTTGCTAGCTAATGTTGTTTTGTCTCGATATTTTTGACCAACTACTTGGATTTTACAAAAACAATTATTCCTCTCACCCTCATGGCCTCTGAGTCAATAGCCCATTCGGCCTTCGGCCTCATGGGCTATTGCTCAGAGCCCATTCGGGTTCGAGGAATAATTGTTAAAAAGTAGGGGTCTTTGAATAGTTTAGTAGGATACAGTGCTGGACCCAGACCGTGAGATAAGGAGGGGGCAGTCATCCAGATCCTGAGGTAAGGAGGGGGGCGGTCTCCAAAAAATGTTTTTCGGTCCTTTGGGACTCATTTTGATCCAAAAATAAAGGGGGGCGGCCCCCCCGGGCCCCATCCCCTGGATCCGCCACTGGGATATCAAAACAACAATTTCGTTTTGATTTAAACCAGGGTGCCCAGCCGGCCACATTTTTATATATATATAGCAGTATTTGCTTTTATCATATTTTCAGGTTCTGCGAATGTCAGTTACACCATCGAGCTTGAAAGAGATAAAGACTCCGATCCTTACCGCAGAATGTTTTTCTTGGATGGAAAAATAGTCTTTTTCGCCATCACGCAGCAAGTCACCTTGGCAAAGGAAAATAAATCGTTCTGCGAATTTAATCACACTGTTTATTTAAGGGTAAGCTCTTCGACCTTTCCATATTTCCTCACCATCTAACAAATGCTCAGTGGTTTAGGTGTTAGTGTGGTATACTGGACCTTCTGGGTCGTGGGTTCGAATCCTTCTGCCTTTAATATCAATTTTTTTTTCTTTTAAATTGAGGAGACTTGCACTTTCATGAACATTTCCAGCTTGAAATATCATCTAAGTGTGATTTAAAAGGAGAAAACTGTTCTACCTTGGGTAAATTTCGTAAGGGGAGAAAGGGGCTACGGCCGATGGGATCTAATGCTGACCGGTAAATAAGACATCACCTAGCCACGTGTTAGGTAGCGAAAGGTACAGGGGATGAAGGGTAAAGGGAGGAGGAATGGGAAGAGGTTCGTCCCCTCTCCTCTCCCTCTTATTTTTGCGCCTACCTCGGAGGCGAAACATCTCTAAGGAGGACTTCAGTAAAACAAAAATATTATCGGTTATCCAACTTTGTTAGTCGTGTCATGATCCGAGTCATAGAGGAGACGGCTTTGAAGCTCAGTCAGAAAAAGAAAAACAAGTCATTGTGTCGTTGCATTTAGCATGAGAGCTCCACTTAAGTTTGCCTAATTCTTTCTATTTTAATGAAACGGGTTTTAACCTGAGAAAATTCAAAAGAAAGGTTTTAACGGAACTACATGCTGATAACTTTTCCCGAACAGACTGTCATGTAGGGGACTACCAGAGAGTGCGATGGAAATCGAGCCTACTGAATAAACGGATGCAGGGATGCACACTGATACATGCCTTTTTTTTTCCTCGTAGAAAAAGGATAAAATTCTGGACGTTATAGCCCCGTTAACATTTGACCTGACCTACGATCTCGTCCATTCTCCTTCTTGCAAACTCTGTCCCATATTAAATAACTACCATGACCCTGATCAGCGGTCACGTAGAAAAGAGGTAAGTCCCTTATGTAGGGTAACAGAAAATGTCAAAGTTCATGTTTGAAAATAAATGTTAAAACGTTAAGGAGACTTGGAAATTGGTGGATCATTGATACCAGAAACTCTTGAAAACGTTAATTATGAATTTCTTCAAATAATTAATGGCTGCCGAAAAGCTTTTCAGAAAAATTATAAAGCTCGAAAAGATGGAATCAGAAGATCAGAGTTTGAAGTTGATAGGTAAGGCCTCAAATGTAAACCTCCTTCTCTAGTGTTGGATATTTTGAAACTGAGAAGTAGCCGACTACTCTGCGATAAGTTTATCACAGAATGTTTACTAACGTGTACCCTGATTGTTCCCTTACCACAGGCTAATTTCGTTAAACAATGTGGACCTGACAAAGTTTGTGAGCCTGATTTATCTGTTACAGGAGAAATAAAAACATTTGGTGTACATGGGTAAGTAATCTACTGTTATGTTCTTTTAGGCAATTAAATGTTTGGCTTTTTGTTTAGCCCAGTGCAAACGGACGCAACATTGATGGCCAACAACTCCCATCATTGTTGCCTGTTGCGTCCGTTTACACACCCTGTCGTGTTTTTTGGGTTTTGTTGGGAGTTGTTGCGCAAGGTTTGAAACTGGGGCCAATTTAGTAAAACCTTTACACTTGTAATTTACAAGCAGGACCGTTGTATTTACAAGCCTAGGTGAAAAAGATTTGAATAAAGACAGTGATAAGTGCAAATTACATGTGTCCGGCCTGTAGTTACAAGTGTAGGTTTACATATCGTCATGTAGAATATGGTAGAAGTTTTTGCGAAAATCCGACTTATATTTTACACGTGTCCAACTTGTATATCGCAAGTGCAAATCACAAGTCGCAAGTCACTTGTAAACATTGAGTACGCATTTTGAAAAGGGTATTTCTGCGGAAAAAATGTCTTCCTCAAGCGAAGAGGAACTTGATGAACTACTAAGACGTCAAATTGTACATCAACCACGAAATTTCGCAGAAAGACGACCATTAGAGAGAGAAGTTTCGTCTCCCTCTGGATACCTTTGCTCATCTATTAGAATTAATAGGCTCGCAAATGGAGCACAGAACGAGGCGCAAAGGAGCTTTGACTGCAAGACAACAACTTTTAATATTTCTTTATTTCCTTGGAACAAACATCTTTCTATCCTGTTATGCACTCTTGTCATGAAGTCTCCACTTCAACAGTGTGGCAAATCATTCGTCGTGTTGTCCCTGCAATATTAACCCTAAAGCGAGATTTCATTCGATGGTCTGAACACCCTCTCATGGTTGCTGACGCGAAATTCAGAGCCATAGCAGCAATGAGGCTTTCCCTGTGTGGCAGGATGTGTTGACGGAACCCACGTTCTTGTCAACCCACCAAATCAAGACGAAGACGCATACGTTAACCGCCACCACACCAAATCTCTAAATGTAGCCATGGTCGCAGGCCCAGATTACACGATCTACTTTTGCAGTAGTCGGTGCCCTGGAAGGTGGCATGATTGAAGGGTCCTAAGAGAAAGCACTCTTTGGGCCTGCTTTTGAGGAACGGGGGCGTAGACCATTCCGGGGAGCCGTCATTTTAGGCGACTCCGCTTACCCCTGCAACAACTGGTTGATCCCCCCTTTCAGACGAGCCGTAGAGGGGTCTCGGTTTCGTTTTAGTGAGGCCCACATAAAAACACGAATTATCTAGATCTAATGGGTCATCAAGAAAAGGTTCTACACTTTACACACCGGAATAAAAGTAAGAAGCGTGACCACAGCAGCCGAGCTTGTCATGTGTGCCGTTATACTGCACAACCTTTGTGTTCGATTTAGCGATAACGGCGAAGATCTACAAGACGGAGCAGATGTTAACATCGTTGATGATAATTTTGTGATCGAACCGGGAAGAGTACAAGACGACAGATGGCAGCAGCTGCTTATGCACTTTCTGTGAGTGTGGAAATGCACAATTTAAATCTACAGCTGATCAAAAGGCATGTTTTGACTGTTTTGATTGCATTGACACTGCAATCCAATCAGTACTTATATTTATTTATATCTTGAAGCAAAAGCCAATAAATCTGGAACAACCAAGTGCAATGAGGAGTATCATGATTTTATTACTATAGCCCTCTACGCCGTTAATGTCACTACAAATCTTTGAATTTAAGCAGCATTTAACTAAATTAACATCGCTCTCTAGGTCCTTTTTCACCTTTTTAATTTCCAGTCGAAGCTTGATGCATTTAAGCAAGAGCTTTCTCTTTTGTAGGCGTAAAATCGCCCCTTCTAGTGACTGATTATCCCGGCCATTTGTCGTTTTTCTTTATGATACACGCTCCTTCGTCTTCTTGAATTTATTCTATTTTTTAAATGTTTTAAACTAGATGGCCCAAATTATATCTCCCAATTTTTTACACCTCGGTTAACTAAATACAATCTACGAGACAGTGGCTTAAATGTTGTGCAGCCTCCATATAACAGCCTTGTCATACACAATTTATACATGATTGCCCACATGTGGAATCAACTACCAACTGTCACCAAATCCTGGAGCACTTTAGCACAATTTCGTGCTCGCCTGAATAATGTTAATTTCACAGGGTGCCAGTGTATGAACTGTATATAATTTATCTATTTTTACATTTTTACATACTCTTGGGCCAGTTTATATATATATTTTTTAATATTTTAATCACTTTATAATTACGATTAGTCCATTTTAAACTATTTTTAATGCATGTACTTAGGTCTTTTAGCTTCTTTCCAAAAAGTAGTTTCTTAAAATTTTTTCCCAAAATTACGATGTACTTAATGAGTAGGTTTTTTATATTTGTATATGCATAATTCGCATTTTATCTTGTTTGGTATTTTTAGTCTGTCGAGCGTTTTTAACATGAGCCTCTGGCTCGGAAGATTGTGCAAACACTTTCCACGTCTTCGACATTAAATAAATCATTCCATTCCATTCCAATATTTGTACCGACGCTGTTTAACTGCGTACGAATGGTTTACCATGCCTGTGGCTTTTTTTGTCACTTTCGAAGAAAACGGCGCCAAGACAACAGCCTTGTTGTCTCTTACTAGCTGAGCAAGAAGCAACTTTTGTTCTTCAGATAACATGCTTGAAAAAGAACTTATTTAGCCAAGGAAACACATCGAAAAACTTATGTCCATGAGCTACTGCAACGTGTTTATCACTACAAGTGCATTGAGTACAGAATTTACACGTGTAATCTACACTTGTAGTCTGACCCGTGCTACAAGAGTTAATTCCGGCGTCAAAATTTCCTTTATTAAATCCGTGTATTCACAAGTGGGACTTAACATGTACAGTGTACAATTGAAAAACATACAAGTGTAAAAGTTTTATTGAATTGACCCCTGGTCAAACTTTTAAGCCAACAACTCCTAACATTTCTTTTGTTCCGCGATTGCCGAAGGGTAGCGGAACAATGTTGGATCCAATTGCACAGCGCTTCCGACATTGTTTGGGCCACTCACATGGTTTACTGACAAAGTCTCATTGGTTGTATTCTTCCGACGTTGCACTGCAAGTCCCAACATTGTTGTTGCATCCGTTTGCACACCAGTGCCAACACGGACGCAACAACTCCCAACATTGTTGGGCCAACAATGTTGGGAGTTGTTGCGTCCGTTTGCATGTAGCTTTAGTGTGTCTGTAGCCTGTACACAGACGTTGTTTTATTTTTCTTTTCGTTCTTTTGGAAAACATCGGCGAGCTCGCGAGGGAAGCGAGCGCACGAGAACGAGCACAGAGCGCGTGAAAGAAAAATAAAGAACTATTTTCTATTTTCTTCTTCACCCACCCCTACCCGTTTGCGCTGGCGGTCAATAAATCCCCTGTGGTTTATATTTTATCACCCGCCGCGCTCGACTCTGGCGCTCGACGGAATTTGAAGGGAAAATAGAGGGCCTGTGAAGAGGCTAGTGTGTCTGCACATAACATCTTGTTTGCGGTGTTGGTGTACCCGTAACCTCGATGCCAGTGAAATGACCTGTAGTTCAAAGAACAAAAATGACTCGCACTTCATCTTTATTTTAAAATTTCGTTCCAGCGATGAGCACAAAGAACTTCATGTTGGCGATGATGACCAAATGACAGTGTCAGTGACGGTGATAAACAAAGCGCAAGACGCAGCCTACTCTGGAAAGGTCATCGTGACCTTCCCTTCCATAATTTATTATGCAAGCAGTGGTCAGGTTAGTTGACGCACCAAAGTGCTGTTGAGACTCGCAACTGTGTGGTCTCAACTCTTTCACTTTCTTTGCTGTCATTGTACGACTACGACGTGAAACTACCAAATTTCATGTTTTCTACAGGACGTGGACACAAGACAACGATTTTTTAATTCCTTTTTAAACTTAGCTACAGTCCTTTAGAATTCAACTCCAGAAAAATTCACCAACATTTGAAAATTTGAACAACATCGAATAAAGGCAATGAATTTTGAAACAGCGCGAGTTCACTTTTTAAAAGACGTTTTTCCCACCGTCCTCGACGTCGTCGTTGCTTATGGCTCCCAATTATCATGACCGGCGTCAACGTCATTTCCATCATCAACATATCCCCGTCCTCAACGGCTTTTGCCGCAGCATCATTTCCACGTCACGTCATCATGTCTAGCACATACGTCATCATTAGTTTTATCATCATCGTCCTCGTCATTAACATCAGCATCATCATCATCATCATCATCTTCGTCGTCCAATTTAAATTAGTCACTTTTGAGAAGGCCCCTGGGACTTCAACCACCCTTCCCAATCCTTGAGTGAATAACATGGTTCGCAAACATTTTTATCTTAGGATGTGCGCTGTTCCAAAGTACAAGAAGATGAAAAATCAGTCAATGCTGATGAAACAAAAGTTGACTGCCTTCTCCCAAACCCCCTCCACAAAAACTCTAAAGTAAGTTTCTTCTCTGTTATGTTGTTCATTGTCACAAACGTTGAAATGAGTGATTACCTGAGGCAAACTTGCGGTATAGTTCTGTCGCGTGCGTTGAGTTAGACCTAACGATAAGCTTGCAAAACGAATCGTATCGTGTTATACGAACGCGCCCCTGGCGGCTTAAGACAGTTACGAGTTTTATTTTTGACCCGCTGCATGCGAAAGCTCCAACGTCCAAATCGGTAGCCTGAGAAAACAGCCGAGATTTCGCGACGCGATCAATGATTTCCTCGTGGAATGACGTCTGGGACAACTGCTGCGGAAATTCTGATGGAAATACTGATGACGTTTCTCCACCCAGATCTCAGTGGGTAGTGCGTCTGAATGGTTGCGCCGCAATGAAATTCTCTTCAGCCAATAAGAAGAAGTGACATCTTATCCGTTTGGAATTGCTGCGCTCGTTCCTCTGACGTAATTTCGCGGGGAAGGTGAACCAGTACTGTGGTGGCATCGCGAAATGTCGGTTGTCTTCTTAATATGTTTGTTTATGTCTTCTCAGGCCACCGAATCGGCCATCAAACAATTTTACAAAGTGTGATTCATTTGAAACAAAGAGCGTTTTAACGGTAGTTATTTTCTTCCATTCCTAAACAGTTCGATATCAAATTTGACACGACTCGAGTGACAGGAAACATAAGCGAACTTGCCATCCATCTTGAAGCAACAAGGTGAAAATATGTCTGTTTATGTCTTTATGAAACTAAATAAAAGGATGGCTGTTACTGTCAGAAAGTTTGGATCTTGTGTACTAGATCGCGGTCGACAATGATGGTTGATATATTGAATGGGGATCGACAAGTCGTCTGTCAAGTGTCGAGTCAAAGAGGAGGGAATATCTATCATCATATCGACCGATACTCTGATTAATAACGAACCATAGTCGACGGATGTGTCCAGTGAGATGTCGTTTGTATGAATGCGAATTCACCCAATTCCTATACTCTGCCGAAACACAACCTGTTTTAAGGATCCGTCGGACAGGAGACCGAAAAAATAAACAATGTTAAATAAGACAATCAAACAATGCTGCTTTGGTGCGAAAAGAAGGATTGATATAATGGAGTGATTATTGAGCAATTTATTATTAGATGAGGCTGAGTATGGTCTGAAAAATTATACAGATCCACGAGGCCGTCATTTCGTCTTCGCAAAACATGTGAGATTTTCCACCATTTTCTCCAGCACCAGCAAAACAAATGAGCTAATGCAAACCCTTCCCCAGGGCCTCGGTGCCATCACTTTTCTGGTGACATCCTGCATTATTGACGTCATTCTACTGGATGTCGCAAACCTCTTCCAAATTTGGTCAACGCTTGCTGGTTTTGAAGAATTGGCCATAGGATTTGAGCCAATCATAAAACGGAGAAATATTTTGACAGAAAAATAGTATTTGTTCTCATAGAAGAGTAATGGTTTAGATAAAACCGAACGAATCAAATTTGATCTTTGTGAGTAATGTTTGTTTTTATTATTGTCGAACAGTCCCAGTAAAGATCCTGATCCATCTGATAACAAATATTCCGTCAAAGTTGCCGTCAAATTCGAGGCAGATCTTAGCGTCGAAGGGTAAGCTAGACAGTATTTTAAACACTTTATCACTCAAAACAACTTATCACAGTTTAACCTCCTTAATAAGAAAACCAAAGGGACAGAACCAAGTGTAAGCATCAGAGAGAGGTAGGGATTGTATGAAGTTTGGAACTAATAGAAGAACCTGCAGTAAAGTTGTGTCTGTATTATGAAGGTGTCTGTGCCCAGAGATGGACATAGACGACGGGGACAGTGTTTTAATTCTGAAAAGCTTTTTACGCTGAAAGAAATATTTGGCAAACTGTGGCAGTCTGTTGGTTTTATTTAAAAGGTCGCTTTTGAATAAAACCAATTATAGTTATAACCGCCCTCACCAGTGTAACATGGAACTTTACACAGAGGAAAATGTCAATTGGTGTCCTAACCAGTGCGACTACCGAAGTATTCGTCGAGGTCGTTTATAACATTTTTTTTTGACATGTGTATTTCAGACGCGTTGCGGACCTATTCAGTGGAAGGTTCTAGAGTAATCTTGTGGTTTTAAACTTTTTCAGATTGTCTATACCGGATCAAGTGGCGTACTCTGAAAAAACAATTGAGGTGAAAAACCTCATCGATGTTGGACCTTCTGTGAAGAAAGTCATAACGGTAGGTAAAGGATGCAAGCAGTGGTCAGGTTAGTTGACGCACCAAAGTGCTGTTGAGACTCGCAACTGTGTGGTCTCAACTCTTTCACTTTCTTTGCTGTCATTGTACGACTACGACGTGAAACTACCAAATTTCATGTTTTCTGCGGGACGTGGACACAAGACAGCGATTTTCTAATTCCTTTTTAAACTTAGATACAGTCCTTTAGAATTCAACTCCAGAAAAATTCACCAACATTTGAAAATTTGAACAACATCGAATAAGGGCAATGAATTTTGAAACAGCGCGAGTTCACTTTTTAAAAGACGTTTTTCCCACCGTCCTCGACGTCGTCGTTGCTTATGGCTCCCAATTATCATGACCGGCGTCAACGTCATTTCCATCATCAATATATCCCCGTCCTCAACGGCATTTGCCGCAGCATCATTTCCACGTCACGTCATCATGTCTAGCACATACGTCATCATTAGTTTTATCATCATCGTCCTCGTCATTAACATCAGCATCATCATCATCATCATCATCATCGTCGTCTAATTTAAATTAGTCACTTTTGAGAAGGCCCCTGGGACTTCAACCACCCTTCCCAATCCTTGAGTGAATAACATGGTTCGCAAACATTTTTATCTTAGGATGTGCGCTGTTCCAAAGTACAAGAAGATGAACGATCAGTCAATGCTGATGAAACAAAAGTTGACTGCCGTCTCCCAAACCCCCTCCACAAAAACTCTAAAGTAAGTTTCTTCTCTGTTGTTCATTGTCACAAACGTTGAAATGAGTGAGTACCTGAGGCAAACTTGCGGTATAGTTCTGTCGCGTGTGTTGAGTTAGACCTAACGATAAGCTTGCAAAACGAATCGTATCGTCTTATACGAACGCGCCCCTGGCGGCTTAAGACAGTTGCGAGTTTTATTTTTGACCCGCTGCATGCGAAAGCTCCAACGTCCAAATCGGTAGCCTGAGAAAACAGCCGAGATTTCGCGACGCGATCAATGATTTCCTCATGAAATGACGTCTGGGACAACTGCTGAGGAAATTCCATACTGGTGACGTTTCTCCACCCAGATCTCAGTGGGTAGTGCGTCTGATTGGTTGCGCCGCAATGAAATTCTCTCTAGCCAATAAGGAGAAGTGACATCTTATCCGTTTGGAATTGCTGCGCTCGTTCCTCTGACGTCATTTCGCGGGGAAGGTGAACCAGTGCTGCTATGTCTTCTCAGGCCACCGAATCGGCCATCAAGCAATTTTACAAAGTGTGATTCATTTGAAATAAAGAGCGTTTTAACGGTAGTTATTTTTTTCCATTCCTAAACAGTTCGATATCAAATTTGACACGACTCGAGTGACAGGAAACATAAGCGAACTTGCCATCCATCTTGAAGCAACAAGGTGAACATATGTTTGTTTATGTCTTTATGAAACTAAATAAAAGGATAGCTGTTACTGTCAGAAAGTTTGGATCTTGTGTATTAGATGGCGGTCGACAATGATGGTTGATATATTGAATAAGGATCGACAAGTTGTCTGTCAAGTGTCGAGTCAAAGAGGAGGGAATATCTATCATCATATCGACCGATACTCTGATCAATAACGAACCATAGTCGACGGATGTGTCTAGTGAGATGTCGTTTGTATGAATACGAATTCACCCAATTCCTATACTCTAACGGAACACAACCTGTTTTAAGGATCCGTCGGACAGGAGACCGAAAAAACAAACAATGTAAAATAAAACAAACAAACAGTGCTACTTTGATGCGAAAAGAAGGATTGATATAATGGAGTGATTATTGAGCAATTTATTATTAGATGAGGCTGAGTATGGTCTGAAGAATTATACAGATCCACGAGGCCGTCATTTCGTCTTCGCAAAACATGTGAGATTTTCCACCATTTTCTCCAGCACCAGCAAAACAAATGAGCTAATGTAAACCCTTCCCCAGGGCCTCGGTGCCATCACTTTTCTGGTGACATCCTGCATTATTGACGTCATTCTACTGGATATCGCAAACTTCTTCCAAATTTGGTCAACGCTTGCTGGTTTTGAAGAATTGGCCAGAGGATTTGAGCCAATCATAAAACGGAGAAATATTTTGACAGAAAAATATAATTTGTTCTCATAGAAGAGTAATGGTTTAGATAAAACCGAACGACTCAAATTTGATCTTTGTGAGTAATGTTTGTTTTTATTATTGTCGAACAGTCCCAGTAAAGATCCTGATCCATCTGATAACAAATACACCGTCAAAGTTGCTGTCAAATTCGAGGCAGATCTTAGCGTCGAAGGGTAAGCTAGACAGTATTTGAAACATTTTATCACTCAAAGCAACTTATCACAGGTTAACCTCCTTGATAAGAAAACCCAAGGGACAGAACCAAGTGTAAGCATCAGAGAGAGGTAGAGATTGTATGAAGTTTGGAACTAAGAGAAGAGCCTGGAGTAAAGTTGTGTCTGTATTATGAAGATGTCTGTGCCCAGAGATGGACATAGACGACGGGGACAGTGTTTTAATTCTGAAAAGCTTTTTACGCTGAAAGAAATATTTGGTAAATTGTGGCAGTCTGTTGGTTTTATTTAACCCTTTCACTGCCAAATGTGGCCAAAGGCAAGTTTCGACCAAATTTCCAAATTTCATTTTCCAAAATTGTGAGAAACAAATAACATTATGTGAAAGTACAGGTAGAGAGCTCTCATTTGAATTGTCACATCAGGGTTTCGTCCACAGACTCAAAAGTTAGAGTCACCTTACAAAACTCCATCAAACACTCTGGCAGTGAAAGGGTTAAAAGGTCACTTTTAAATAAAACCAATTATAGTTATAACCGCCCTCACCTGTGTAACATGGAACTTTACACAGAGGAAAATGTTAATTGGTGTCCTAACCAGTGCGACTACCGAAGTATTCGTCGAGGTCGTTTATAACATTTTTTTTGACATGTGTATTTCAGACGCGTTGCGGACCTATTCAGTGGAAGGTTCTAGAGTGATCTTGTGGTTTTAAACTTTTTCAGATTGTCTATACCGGATCAAGTGGCGTACTCTGAAAAAACAATTGAGGTGAAAAACCTCATCGATGTTGGACCTTCTGTGAAGAAAGTCATAACGGTAGGTAAAGGATTCAGTTGTAGGGCATGCTGCGGACAATAGAGATCTTTAGATCGAGGTTTTACGGCATTTCCCGCGAATCGCGAACGTCAATAACATTAAGTCATGTGACCAGGGCCTTGCCGTCAGGCTTGCGGTTTGAGGTTCACGTTTGGACGACTAGACCACGCTAAGTGACCAGGTGAATGATTTACCTGGAGTTTTTTTGCACCCAAAAACATCACAATTCCACGTTTGAGAGGAAATGCTGCTTTTTAGAACTGTTTCGCTGATTAATTATTAAATTCTTTTTGAAGACAATTTCTCAGCTAAAATAGTGAGTGGATAAATGAAAACAAACGTGGCAGCCGCGAGCTACCACCCGCGAATGTAAGTCCCAAATATGGGCAGACGGGTATTGTGAAATCGCTAACCGCAAACCGCTGTTTGCCGTTTGCAGTAAACCTTGGTCTTCACTAGCGCATAAGCATAAGCACAAGCACATGTGTATTGCAAGTGAAAACTGGGTCCGGACATAAGCATAAGCATATTAGCACAAGAAAAACGGACAAGTTCGTTCTTCTTGTGCTTGTGCTTACGCTTATGTCGTAGCTTTGACTAGTGAAAACGGGGTCGACATAAGCCCAGGTATAAGCACAAGGCCGTGGACCATTCAGAGGCCATTTTGATGTCCGAAGACTTCCGAAGATGTTACGAAAGTCGATTATCCACATAGTCTTTTCTTTTCTCTCTTTGGCTCTGGTTTGTTTGAATAATTAATATATTTTTCAAAATGTGTCAGTTAATGCTCTAATGGCTCAAACTTTTCTACCAGGCGTGACAAATCGTAACNTTTTTTTTGACATGTGTATTTCAGACGCGTTGCGGACCTATTCAGTGGAAGGTTCTAGAGTAATCTTGTGGTTTTAAACTTTTTCAGATTGTCTATACCGGATCAAGTGGCGTACTCTGAAAAAACAATTGAGGTGAAAAACCTCATCGATGTTGGACCTTCTGTGAAGAAAGTCATAACGGTAGGTAAAGGATTCAGTTGTAGGGCATGCTGCGGACAATAGAGACCTCAAGATCGAGGTTTTATGGTATTTCCCGCGAATCGCGAACGTCAATAACATTAAGTCATGTGACCAGGGCCTTGCCGTCAGGCTTGCGGTTTGAGGTTCACGTTTCGACGACTAGACCACGCTAAGTGACCAGGTGAATGATTTACCTGGAGTTTTTTTGCACCCAAAAACATCACAATTCCACGTTTGAGAGGAAATGCTGCTTTTTAGAACTGTTTCGCTGATTAATTATTAAATTCTTTTTGAAGACAATTTCTCAGCTAAAATAGTGAGTGGATAAATGAAAACAAACGTGGCAGCCGCGAGCTACCACCCGCGAATCTAAGTCCCAAATATGGGCAGACGGGTATTGTGAAATCGCTAACCGCAAACCGCTGTTTGCCGTTTGCAGTAAACCTTGGTCTTCACTAGCGCATAAGCATAAGCACAAGCACATGTGTATTGCAAGTGAAAACTGGGTCCGGACATAAGCATAAGCATATTAGCACAAGAAAAACGGACAAGTTCGTTCTTCTTGTGCTTGTGCTTACGCTTATGTCGTAGCTTTGACTAGTGAAAACGGGGTCGACATAAGCCCAGGTATAAGCACAAGGCCGTGGACCATTCAGAGGCCATTTTGATGTCCGAAGACTTCCGAAGATGTTACGAAAGTCGATTATCCACATAGTCTTTTCTTTTCTCTCTTTGGCTCTGGTTTGTTTGAATAATTAATATATTTTTCAAAATGTGTCAGTTAATGCTCTAATGGCTCAAACTTTTCTACCAGGCGTGACAAATCGTAACACAGGCGTGAGTAGGCGTGAGATCCAAGTTTTCGATCCGCAGGCGTGACAATCACGCCTTAGGCGTGACACTTGGCAGGTATCCTCATGCGAACATATCAAAAGCAATATAAAAATATGGCGAAAGAAGCGTCCGCCATCTTGTTTACCATCAGGTTGAGGAGAGCTGGTATCGAGAATTGAGTCAAATATGCCATTCTGCGCATGCGTATGTCCTTATGCTTATGCTTATGCGCTAGTGAAAAACCAGACTATGACCAAACCTCGATCTTAAGGTCTCCAATTCATTTGGAGATAGACACTTAACCCTTTAAGTCCCGATAGTGACCAACATCAATTTTCTCCTCACAATATCCATATGTTGCTAAGAGAAATGACTATGAGAGTTAATAAAATGATCACCAAAGAAAAAATGTTTTGATCTGTTGTCAAACTATCTCAACTATTTTTAAGGAAATGTATGAAGGTCAGTATTGAGAATTTATATGTGGATATCGGGGCTTAAAGGGTTAACACCCTTTAACCCAGGAGTCATGTTATCAGTAGGTGGAACATGAGTATAGGGATCAATTCAGGTTTCTGGGAAACTGCCCACCTACCCCTCCAGTAAGGTAACATTAACACTTACTTCTCACTTAGGGCAAAATGATGGCTTAGGGGAAGGGTAGGTGGGCAGTTTCCCAGAAAAAATTGATCCGAGTGCAGCCTTGAATGTTGACAATGACAGACGCCTCGACAACCACTGCTTACGTCATCGTCAGAATCAAAGAGAGACAAAGACTTAAGTTGCTAACTCCATTCTAAAGATTAGAGTCCAGCATTTATGTTTGCCTCAGATACGCGCGTCCGCATTACATGGTGTGTCCGATTCAAGGCAGCTGACTTGCTTTGTTCATTCCGTCTTGTTTCTAGGTCAAAAATAACGGCCCCAGTCCAGTTGATTATGCTGAGGTCACGATCCTGGTTCCAATCAAAAATAGATCACTAGAAGCACCAAACTATGTTCTTTACTTGGTGGATCTTCAGGTGAAGTAATTAGTGAAAATCTTGCTGTTGGCTGTCGCAATTGGCTGAAAATCTGGCGCCACTTTGTTTTAACCAATCAGGGGTCAGACCAAAACCAATCATAGTGCTTTCCCGCGCTTTGTAATTTTCCTTCACGCGCCGACTAAATAATTTACCTCTCTGCGTTGTGATTGGCTAGAGTAAGTTGGTGTGTATGACACTTGATTAAAACTACTCTCATTTACAGCAAACATAAAAATTAAGCACTGCTAAAATTAGGATGCATGAGTAAATCTTTTTGTTTCTTGGCCCGTTTTTAGAAAACGACATTGTAATGATATTTCTTGCTTTTCTTTTAACTTAGGTTCTTGAAAATGCGGGTAGATGTAACGTCAAGACCAATCCTCTTAATCTGAAGGTTGGTATGTTAATTATTGGAAGTTGGTGTATTATAAGTGTTTGGAGGGGAGCAAACACTCCTATTGGTGGAAATAGAGAGAGTGTTACTTCAGAGTAGTGTGTGTTTGTGAGGGTTGGGTGAGCGGGGAGTTTAGTATGACACTGTTTCTAATTTCGAATTGGGGACTCAAGTGTTAAGAAGTTGTCTTACGTCTCATTTCACCATATTTAGGATGGAAATAACTCCACTTTACCTAACCAAGGTCAGTCTGTATCTTCAGGGGGAAAACCGGCAGCCATAACTGAGGAACTGGTAACAAATTTTTCGTTGTCTATCTAGTCTCTTACGCAGCCGTTTTTTGGATTACCTATATCAATGCTCCTCCTCTGTTAGCGGGAAAGAGCATTGTGAGTTTCATTCATTCACTCATACATTCATTCATTCATTCATTCATTCATTCATTCATTCATGCATGCATGCATTCATTTATTCATTTTTGCCATTAACCAGAAATACAATGACAGTATACAGAAATTTATAATACATTACAGATAATATACAATATTCTAACAAAATTATTTACAAGAATGTATAAAGTGGTAATGGCAAGGAAGCCTATATAGAAGCCGGGGGCATACAAACTATAGGCTTCCTGGAACTATAGGGTAAACCATGCAAGTTAAGGGTACTGAATGAAAATTTGGAAAAAAAAACAAAGAAAAGAAAAGAAGAGAAGAGAAAAAAGTTAAATCATACTTAAGGGCCTGCATTGGAATCCTTTAATAGACATTATGTATCAGTATGGCGAAGTAAGACTTATTTCAAATGTGTCGACTCTAATGCATATGGGCAAGAACAATAGATTTTCCTTATTAGCATTAACCCTTTAAGCCCTAGTATCCACATATAAATTCTCCAAACTGATCTCCATACATTTCCTTGAAGAATTATTTGAGAGAATTTGGTAAAAGATCAAATATTTTTCTCTTTGTGATCATTTTGTTAATTCTCATAGACTTTGCTCATGATGGTCTATAGATATCGTTAGGAGAAAATTGATCTTGAGCACTACTGGGACTTAAAGGGTTAAATTCGTCACATATACAGCTATTTCGAGAAAAGTTGTCGGAAAAAATGTGCAAGCGACAATCCCGAAAGGTAACATGGGATATGATCAATGCACTGTTCCTGACACTATAGCTGTCGAACCTACTTTTGTTGCTTTCTTTTAGCACTCGTAAACATACGGTCCATGGCCTCGTGTCATTCTCTCTAACTTCTTTGAAAAACAGTGATTTCAAAACCACCCACAATACCTTTCGGGGATTGTCGCGTGCACTGTTTCCGACAACCTTTCTCGAAATAGCTGCATCTGAAATGATAATAATGACCACGAAACGAAATAAACAACATGGATCGAAATCAACCAATCACAACCTACAGACGTGACCTTTTGAATCCGCTGAAGAGTGCCGATTTTTCCTGAGAGGTCCGTTAGAGTGTGTGACGGAGGCGAAAAGCGTAAACGTAAATTATAATTTTGACTTGAGATCGCATTTTATTTCAAAGCGCGGCAATGTTAGCAAAGAAATTGCTGGTAGATGACAAAATACCAGCTTGTGTCAAACAAATATTGTCTCCTGGGTGTCATATGTAAAGTTTCGAATACACAAAACATTGTCTTTTGAAACATTTTGGTTTCTAGAAAAACGTTTTCTATCATTATTTACATTTTGCGTGTTGTGCTTCGAGTAACTTAGTGTTTTTTTATGAGCTGCTGATTGGCCCACAACCAACTTTCTTGGAATTATATTGTTATTTTCCTGCAATCCGATTGGTCAACTTTGACTTAGTGGCCCCCGTAACAGTAGTCGCACTGTAACATCCTCTCACGACTTCAAAATCATCTAGCTAATCTGGCATCGATTCACATTTCATGGGGTGTCAGTAAAACTCGGGGTCGGGGCTGGGGTCGGGGTCTATCGTTTTGCCGTTTTAGGGTAGGGTTGAGGTTAGGGTTTGGGTAAGGGTTAGTGTCAACCCTAACCCTAACCCTAAAACAGCATTCTTTAAAAAACAAGATAGACTTCGACCCCGCGTTTCACTGACACCCCGTTTCACGCCCTTTCACTGCTTTTAATTTCGAATGCCAGTCACAGTAACCACTCTTGAATTTGCTTCTTTGTTGTCGTTTCGACCTGTAACTTACGTTAGTTTTTTTCCTCAGCCATGCGAATATGACAGTTCCTTGACGTGCCTCGAGATTCCCTGTTATTTGGAAAGAATGAAAAGAGGCGACCAAGTCCAAATTCAAGTGACATCCCGAGTCTGGGAGAGTACCCTTGTTAAGGTACTTGTTATGAAAATAAAATGACTCGCCCCATGATCCCCATGATAGGGAATCCAAAACAGTATTGGATTCTAGATTCCAGGCCGTAAGCCACGGATTCTTTGCCGGTGTTTTTTGGATTCCGGATTCCTCAAGCAAAAATTTCTGGAATCCGGAGTCCCTGACACTTTGCAAAAATTAGAGTTGTTAAGCTAAAAATTGGCTTGCTATACTGTGGTTTCTTTTTGTTCTTACCTATTTTGGGTTTTAATGTGAGCCACAACTGCATTTGTGGACAGAAAAAACTCCATTCTATATTACAAACGCGCTCCTTTACCTTTCGAACGTCATTGGTGTGGACGGGCGGTCGGTCGGTCGGTCGGACGTACGGTCACGTGGTTACCAAAATTCTTGGATGGGTAGATTACCACATTTATTAGGTATGGGGCTACGCTTGCGCGCGTGTAGAGCTCCGTTATTAGAATGTGCATTAAACATAGCTTTCAGAAACGCACACGCTCTTGCTTATAATTAATGTGGGTTTAATACTTTTGCTCTTTTTATTTATGATTATTTTGTAGGCCAAGGTTGATTCGGTCAACATAACAACCACCGCTAAAGTCACGCCATCATCTTCTGTTCCTGAGATGAAAAAAGACAACAACGTGCATAAGGTTGGAAGTCCCGCGCGCGTGACACGAATACTCAGTATTGCGTGACAAACTGAAAACAAGTCTGCGTAGAATACTAGCACGCATTTGAAAGGTTTCCCTTTGAATGACAGTCAAAAATGAGATTAAAAAGAGACGAGATTATGCAGAGATGGAACCACTCAATATTTTACATTTATTTGATCCTCACTATTTGCAATTTATTCAGATCTTCACAGCAAGCATGTGTGACAGGGTAGACTAGAAAGGGGGATTGGGGAGAGAGGCCAAAGGACCTTCTCTTTTTTCCCGTCCTGTCTTCTTCTCTTCTTTCTGTGTCTGCCGCGCAGGATATCCATAGTTTGCGTCTTTTGACTAAGTGAGAGCTTGCTTGCAGCCAATCTCGTTTCCAGAGGCCGCGATCCTTTCGTACAGCGACGGGTTGCCCCATACGCTGGACAAAAGTAACGGAGGCTCTGGGAACGAGATTGGTTCGCAGGTAACTCGCAGGTTATATGTTAAGATTTCTTAACCTAGAACATTTTTTCATTTGCATATTTCTTGGACGTTTTAGCTGAATAGGAAGCTTAAGCAAAGGCGTTTTTGAGTGACCGGAAGTGGATGTTTTGCATTCTTGGGGAGTGGTTTTGCCCACATTTTCAGGCATATTGTCTCCATAAGTGTAAAGACACTTCGCAATACACATTTGATAGCCTCAAGGCATATTAAAAGGTAGCCGAGGGAGAGAAGCGATGACCGGAAATGCGTCTGCTGTTCGCAGGCTAATTAAAAGGGGGAACAGGCTTTACTACCGGAACACGTGCATCGCTCAAAAACGGCTTGAACTGCAACACCACAAAAATGGTTTGCTCCAATTGCTCATTCATTTGAATTGTCTCAATACACACACCAAACGTTTCTGCCAAATTGGTGATTTTCAAATGTTGTTTTAAAATCCTTGAGTTTTTTATTTTTATTCTAAGAACGGTTTCTTTTGCTGTTGTACAGATCCAGCTTGTAGCTAAACTAGCAAGCCATGTTACCGAAAAAGGAACCGCTGTTTGGATCTATATTGTGTCAGTTCTCGGAGGCCTTGCTCTTTTGGCCCTTGTAGGACTTGCCCTTCATAAGGTAGGTGCTCATTATTCTAGAGAAACAGTGAGGTTGAAAGCAAAGGGGATGCAGGGCCGAGAGAGGGGATGCTTCTGTCAATTTGGGACAGAAGAGTTGTATCTGTTGGGTGAACACGGAAAAAGTCGCTTGTTCTAAATGCTTTTAGCCGGCGAATACAGCCCTTTCTCCTTGCTCGTCGCTGCTGGGGATGTTTCGCCAGGAGGAACGTCTGCGCCTAAGCGACAGAAATTCCATACTGATGACGTAAAATCTGTCCGGAATCTGGTCAGGAGCTCTGATTGGTCGAAACAGTAGTTGTATTGTTTTAGCTATTGTTTACGAATGACAGACAAAAGACAACAGGCCACAAAGGTGGAGTTCGTAAACGTGATAACATGAGATCAGGCTCTATTTTCGTTTCTCTTTGGGACTACGTAAGAGAGAATGTATGAGAACTGCTAAAATTGGGCCTGATCTCAGGTTGTAAAAGTGATGAATCTACTACAAAACAGTCAATAGTCGTGGAATATATGTTGTGGTTCAATTTTATCCTTGGTTTAAGTTTTATTTCCCTTTGTTTTGGGGTATGGTAATGTATGATAATGAGTTTAAAACAAGGGGAAATAAAATTTTTAGCCTGCGAAAACATCCGTTTCTCCTCGCTGTTCGCCGCTGGGACGTCGACGACGAGCGTGGAGAAACGGATGTTTTCGCAGGCTGTAAAATTTTAAACCAAGTATAAAATTGAACCATAACATATTTCTCTTTAAAAAGTGAGTTTTGGTGGAGCTCGTTCGCAGTGAAACACAAAACTTTACCATAATCGACCAGCAGAAACATAAAATCAAACAAATTTACCTTTGTAACCCCATTACTACAGGATTTACTATGTAAACATTGATTTACGTCATCAGTATGGAATTTCTGTCGCTGAGGCACTTTCTCCTGGCAAAACGTCCCAAGCGGCGAGGAGCAAGGAGAAACGGCTGTATTCGCATGCTAAATTGCTTTTTTCTTAATGCTAAATGCATTTACGAGCCTTGTTCGTGTTCTAAAAAAGTTGATAAATTGGATATTGCTTTCAAATTAGTCCAAATACAAAGTAAATTGCTTGAAAAACAGAAGAGTTTGTGACGCGTGACTGCTTCGCAATCACCACCGGATATTAAAACTGTCAAATTTTCCCGCTCCGGGATACAATTTTCTTAGTTATATCTCGCTTCAATGAGATCGCCCTGAACTGAAACTTCGCATACAACGTTAAGTACTGGCTAGCTTCAAGCTGGTTGAAACTCACACGATTCTGAGATGGTCACGTTAGCCTCCGGTATAGCCTGTTCCAGGCGTTCAGATAGTAGAGCGCGGGAGAAAAATTCAGTTCAATTCAATTCTCCCCTGTTTTCCTCGCTCCCCACTTACCGCTGCGCTCAACTATCTGAACGCCTGGAACAGGCTGCCTCTGGTACCACCTTAAGGAGTGTTGTTTTGTTTGACAGTGTGGCTTCTTCAAACGGAATCGTGTGGAAAAGCCAGAGCATACAGAAGAGGAGTTAGAGCCCATGAGGGCGGGACCATCTACAGCGTAGAACATATGGAAAGAAAGCCTTGAACAAGAGAGGAGCCCTGGATCATTTCGATCCCAGATCAGGCCAGAGCAGAAAGTCAAGAAAATTTTCCAAAATATATTTTTTAAAATTCTACTTAACAATTGATACCATATGAAAGTACTGTCAAAGTGGATTAATTTGAATCGCGACACTACAGGACTGCACCTACAGTCTCAAAAGTTAAAAGTTTTTTAACTAGCACTGTATACAGTGTTTCAGATGAATTGGTCTTGAAGTCATCCAGCGCAACGAAAATAGAAGCAACGAAAAAAACTATTTTAGAAGAAAATGCATGACGCGCGTAACTTTACTTTTTGTAAAACGAAAACGTTTCCGGCCAGAGGGAAGCAGTGGTTTGGTTTTTTTTAATTATTATTTTTTTCACTTCACCACGGTACGTAAGAGAAGATTTTATCACGAGAAAGGAAAATTAAAACAAGAACTATAAAATAATGTCACTTATGACCGCTCAATCTCAGAATTTCAAGGTTGGTAGGTGGCAAGAGAGAATAAGCTCCATTATAGACTACCAGTAGTCCCCCATTTTTCCTCAGAGATAGTAGAGCGAGCGAAACGCGAGCGCGCGTGAAAATCGCCCCACACGGGAAAAGGCGACACGCGGCCGCCGGGTGTCGCCTTTTCTCGCGTGGGGTGATTTTCACGCGCGCTCGCGTTTCGCTCGCTCTACTATCCTTGAGGAAAAATGGGGGACTACTCGTAGTCTAGCTCCATCACGTTTGAACATATTTGAGAGTAACAATTATTAAGAGTATTTAACGTATAAAGGCACATTGAAAGTTCCAACTTGGGTTTCACGGCAAGTTACGAGTTAATAAGGACCATAATTTCAGTTTGGATTTGATATTTTTGGAATTGCTCCTGAGCATCAGCAATTGTTTTCGCTAGTTATGCTAGCGTGGAATTTTTTTTTTCGCTTTAAGTATTGAGGCATCGTGTTTAAGTTGCTTCATTTTTTTTATCAGGCTTTTTTATGCCTAGCCACATGTGACCAGAAGATTTTAATAGTTTCTGGGAAAAGAAGAGACGTCCCAAAGGGACGTTCTTTCTTTTAAAAAAGAAACAACCTCTCTTTGGTCCCTATGTTATGTTTTGTCTTTTTGAAAAATTTTTATGCAGACTTCAACAACGAAGAAATTGAGTTGCTTAAATAATCACTTTAACGTATTTGTACCATAGCTTCACTGCGAATAGGCCCTTTCCGAGTTCCCCCGGGCCTCTGTATCAAAACGAGGTTAAGCGCTCAACCTTTGATATGAAAATGATTTTTCATTCTTAGGCAAATAAAACTCATTTTCACAAGAAAGGTTGTGCACTTGGCCTCATTTTGAAAGTGAGGGTTTTTGGAACTCGGAAGTGGCCTATTCGCCACTTTATAAACGAGAAGGAAACTGGGGCCGATCGAAATGCGTCCCGCAAATGTCTCTGGGATCGTTACTGGGAACGCGCCGGTCAGCCATTGGCCAATTTTTTCCCGTCCCAGAAGTCTTTTCGAAAATCGACTCGACTCAGTTTCCTTCTCGTTTCTTAAGTGGAGAATTGGCCATTTCCACATTTCCCATAATACACTTTGTTTGCGTGTTTCCTGCTCCCAACACACGCAAACAGTTTTGCATACGCATTGTTTACATTTCTCTCAGGACGATTGAAAGTCCCAAAAGAAGATGAAGACAATGCTTATACAAAACTGTTTGCGTGTGTTGGGGGGCAAGAAACACACAAACAACGTGTATTACGGGAAATGTGGAATAAATAGGCAACGAGCGGTCACGCGCGTGGTCATTTGCGTGTCTCGCTTGACGGACTAAGAAAGAGAGACGGACTAAAAAAGAGAGACTGCTCGTAGTCTAGACAATAAAAAAAGAAACATATATCTACGAATTGTTGACGTTTTGGTAAATAATGTAATATAACAACAAACGGCAGCTGTGACAAAATTTCGTTGGGTTTTTTTCCACCAAAACAGTTAGGTACATTTTGAAAATTAAGGGAAGTATTGTAAATTTGAAACAGGACATTTTATTGATTGAATTAAGGAAAATTGAGCTTAAATATCTTACGTTTATAATCGAGCCTTGCGATAAAGAATGTTATTATTTAAGAGAAATAAAAGTTAAAGTTCATAAATACCTCATCGTGCAGTGGAGTAAAGTTCCCCCTTTTTTGCATCATTTCAGACCATGCGATGTTACCCCAGAGAATTGTTTCTTTCAAATGTATTCCTATCCACGTGCATATTAATTTTAATTAAAATTTCTAAAAAGACAAAAAGCAAATTCCCAGAAGAACAATAGCACGTGCTCCGAACTGAGAAAGCAAAACATGCAAGCCGAAAAGATCTTATAAACAGGAAGCAGCAATTTTGGGTGCAAGCGGCTTAAGGTGGGCTTAGAATTGGGAATTTGCAGCTGTGACGCAGAGACGAAGTAAGTCTATAATCTTTGAATATAAATTTTAAATTATTTCCGCTTTTGCGGCGAAAGTTATCGACCTCCGTATTCTTTTCAGCGTTGTCGCCCTTCGAGACAAACAACGCAATACAATGTCAAAATGCTTCAAACCGGCCGCTCAAACCGGCCGTATGCATCAACGAAATAAGACCAAAAAAACAAAATAGTACTTTGTAATTCGATTTCTTTATTGGCAATACGTGAACGTCTGTCACAATTTCAAAAGAACTCTTGATATTTGGATGTTATTTTGCAGAACGAGCAACAGTTTAATTTATGCACTCCTCCCATCATCAGATTGGGTTGCCTGTGGTTATGGGGCACGCCGCACCACACCTTAGACCAATTTCGATATATTAAAATTCATACTTGGCTCCGAGGCTTGGGGGAATAAAACAAAAGAAATATATTAGTCATTGCTGAGCCTCAAGATGATTTCTTGCAGAACTTACATTTTCCCAGGTAAGCCTAAAAAATAAGCACAAAATTAGGCTATTTAGGTTATTAAATAGGTTCTTACTTTCTGAAGGAAAAAAAATCACCAAAAGTGTAACTAAGAGTATTCAGTGGTATTCAGCTTATTCCTCATTAAAAAAAAAAAAACTAGCATACCATTACATTGCAGTTGGAGTGATAAGGGACGTATGTCTCCAAAGAGTATTCTGAATGTTCACTTACTATTTGCCCAAGTGTACAGAATTTTTTTAAATGGATTTTAAAAAAATAAGAACCTGTTTCAAATTTTAGGTTAAACAGGTTCTTGTATAGAGGGCGCCTAACTACTAGCAAATTTTAGCCTAACAGGTTCTTAAAAACCAGATTTTAAGTCGCGGATTTTTACCGTATCGAAATTGGTCTATTCATGAGATTCTACCGCAACAGACCTCTTCAGCTTCCCAATACAGGTCATGTGATAACACTCCGGTAGAGAAATATTTCTTTTAAAATT